TTCTGGCAGGAAACTACGGCCGCAGCTCGGCAGCACGGGGGCGTCGCAGCGTGCCGCCGCCGCCGCCGCGCTGCCCCCGGGCACGGCGGCGGCGGCAGCAAGCTTGGGCCCAAACGCCGTGCCGCCGAGTCCCGTGGCTGCGACCGTAGACCGTGGGCCGGAAACTGCGGCCGCAGCTCGGCGGCACGTGGTTCTGGTCAAATCGCCAAGCGTGCAGCAGCGCCGAACCACGCTTCCCGGCCTCGGCGCATGCCTTCAGGGGCCCCCTATCGCTGGGCACACCCCTCCAACACCGAACATGCGCCCGGGGGGGAGGGCGGCCCGGGCTGCCCAGGCCAAAGTGGGCCGCCCTCGAGCAAGAGGCGGGCGGGCTGTGTGCTGAATGAATGAATGAATGAGTACTAGGCGAGGAGAACCTAGCCGCCGATGGCATGCTGGGGAGGCTCCGTCATGCAAGCACAATGCCGGGGTGCCGGCAGCCTGCTGGATGCCACAAAGGTGTGTGTGTGTGTGTGTGTGTGTGTGTGTGTGTTACAGGGATTGGGCACATTAATGTGCTGGGGCCGAACCCGCTAACCCTGCCGGCTGTCCAGAGCGAGGAAAATCTGGCCGCCGATGGCATCCCGGGGAGGCTCCGTCTTGCAAGCGCCATGCCGGTCTGCCGGGCAGCCGTCCGCCTTATTTAACGTGTGTGTGTGTGTGTGTTTTACAGGGATTGGGCACATTAATGTGCTGGGGCCGAACCCGCTAACCCTGCCGGCTGTCCAGAGCGAGGAAAATCTGGCCGCCGATGGCATCCCGGGGAGGCTCCGTCTTGCAAGCGCCATGCCGGTCTGCCGGGCAGCCGTCCGCCGCCCAGATGCCGCCACGAAGGTGCCGTGAGGCAAAGTCCCAGCTAGTGTCCCGGCTGGGGTTCGAACTCGTGCCTGTGGTATCACCCACCGACACTCATCCAGCTCCTTATTTAACGTCGCGGCCAACGACGGAAAAATTCGCCCTGTGATCTGTGATGTTACAGAGGCAATGCCCATTAATGGGCTGGGGGCACACAAGCCGTGCCCACTAGCTCTGGACTGTATGAAAGCATGCAATACCGCCCGGGCGGCAAAGGGCGGGCTCAGGGAGCGGTCGGGCGCAAAGGGCGGGGAAAAAGGTAAAGGTAAAGGTGGGGAAGAGCCTCCACAAGCTTCACTTCCCGGTTTTAACGTCTAGCTTTAGACCATTATTTGATCTGCCCGACGCGCCAAGTGCAGTACCCCCCACTAGTAGTGAAGGGGAGGGAGGCGAGGGGCGCCTGATGGCCAGCCCAAGGGCGGCAAGCATACCAGTGGGGGGGAGGGGCAGGTCGAGGACCCGCACACCACCACCACCAGAAAGCGGGCCCACCCACCCCGGCACAGTAGCTGGGAGAGCGGCCAGGCGGGCGGGCGGGGGCCGCAAAGGTGAAGGCGGCACGCGGGAAGACCGGGCAAGGGGAGGACGGGGCAAGCGCAAAAGCGCAAGCATCTGCGGGTTACGGGGGGGAGAGTAGGGGCGTGACGACCAGAACGGCAGGCACGGAGTGAGCGAAAAGAGGGGGGGACGGCGGGCCGCCCGGCACGCGGCGGCAGCAGCAGCAGCGGCCTGCCCGAACGCAAATCGCTCGGCGGCAACAGGCTCCTCCGCCAAGCCACGCCACCCCACGTCTCAATTCGCTGAAGGGAAAGCACCAGGGCTTGGGGCCGCGACACACGGAAGCGGGAATTGGGGGGAGGGGCTGGCGCGCACAAAACGCGTCGTAGGGGGCGAACAAGTCGCAGAGGGGGTGGCCGGGCACCAACGGGGCACACGGGGGCTCATACAACGGGCCGGGAGCCGGCACCGGCCCGAGGGGGTGTTCGCCGGACTAGCCGAGCCGCGGGCGCCGCAGGGCCCGGGGCACCCCTCCACGCACCATCAGGAGGCCATCTCGAGTGCGGGCAGTTGCAGAATGGGCGGCTGGCGGGCCAAGCGAGCCGGCGATGCTGCGGTCGCCCTCGTCCTGCGTCCCCAAGGCAGGGTGTTGCTCAAGAAGGGCCCCAGAGGAGCGGGAGGGGGGCGCGGGGCCCGGCCGCGCCGGGGGACTCGAGCAAGGAACGATGAACAACAAGCGCCGTGTGTGTGTGTGTTTTACAGGGATTGGGCACATTAATGTGCTGGGGCCGAACCCGCTAACCCTGCCGGCTGTCCAGAGCGAGGAAAATCTGGCCGCCGATGGCATCCCGGGGAGGCTCCGTCTTGCAAGCGCCATGCCGGTCTGCCGGGCAGCCGTCCGCCGCCCAGATGCCGCCACGAAGGTGCCGTGAGGCAAAGTCCCAGCTAGTGTCCCGGCTGGGGTTCGAACTCGTGCCTGTGGTATCACCCACCGACACTCATCCAGCTCCTTATTTAACGTCGCGGCCAACGACGAGCGCCATGCCGGTCTGCCGGGCAGCCGTCCGCCCCGACTTAAGTGTTAAAAAGTGCATTTTGGTTCCTGTAGTGTCGTAAAGTCATTATCGACACAACATGGCCAAATGGCGCAATTGGGAGCGCATTCGACTGAAGATCGAAAGGTCCCTGGTTCGATCCCAGGTTTGGCCAGCTTTATTTTGCTGTTGCTGCCAGCAAAAAAGACATGCATGCTAAGGGGAGCTTGGGAAACAAGTAAAGGGGAGCCAGCTGTGATTCAGGAGCGCGGCGCACTCGCCACCGCATACCCTGACTTGCATCAGTTCCAGTCAATGGAGGCGCCGGCCTTCACTCCAGGAGGCGCCGGCATTCAGAGTTCCAGGCCTACCAGTGTCTGGGGAAGCAGGAGTTTCTGAGAGGCATGGAAACTCTGTCAAATAGTGCAGGGGGCGCAAATGCCCCGGAAAGTGATGTGGGCGGTGGCGGCTACAAGCAGTCTATTTAAGGCTGTCTATTTAATTCCTCGGCCTTGCTTTGTTCCAGCCTTCCTCCAAATGCTAGATTCAAGATCCAATGCATATGGACAGAGAGGGCTGACCTGGACTCATGGACATCATGCTTTCTGCTTTATGACCCCCCTATGCTTTGTGCCCTGATCTCGGAGCCCTGTCAAGCGCCCCTCGCGCTAGGGTTCACGCGAGAGTGGCTTCCGCAGCAGGGCGGCCTGCGGCTGATTGAGCAGGCCCAGTGCTTCCTCGGGCGCTGATTGCCTTACCGGGAGATCACCAGAGGGCGCTGGTACTGAAGGGCGCCTCCTCGCGGGCCGCAGCTATCTCCGCGGGTGAGGGCCTTCGTCGATGTCGGAGGCACGAGTGATTGGGGCGGGTATTGCTTGCCCCTGTCATGCAAGCATGCACGCCCCTCAATTCAGATAGGCGGCCCGACGCTGAACCTCCCGATGCCCCCTGCCCTCCGCCGCCCGCCTGCCGTCGCTCACAGGCTCGCACCATGGCAGAAATCGAGCCCACAGACCCCATGCAAGCGGACGATGTGCGCTGGGTAGGTGCCACAGTTGGTCCCAGGAGTAGTGAGGGCAGCACACGTGCAGGTCACGCAAGTCAGGTTTGGGTTCCGCCGACGGGGCCCATCCCCACCAGGCTGCCCGCACTCCCACCCCGCAGAATGCCCACGAGAAGCAGCAGGGCCCCACTGCGCCACCGTCGGCGGCGGCAGGCGGCTCCAGCGCTGCGCGCCGGCCCTGGGCGCAGCCAGGCACAAGCCCACTGCGCGCGCCGCCCATGGCCCACCCGCACCGCAGCCCTACATCGGCAAGGGCCGGTAAGAGCCAGCCACCCTTCGCGGGGCGCCTGTCCCTGCCCTCCAGGCTGCCGGGGCAGTCAGCTCAGCGCCAGCAGCCGGCCGCAGTAGGTGCACATGCCTGCGCATCCAATAGTGACATTGATGGCGCACATGCTGGCTCAGGTGCGGGGTATGGTTCTTAGTCAGGAAGTGCATGTGAGGTGTGGCATTGTGTGCTTTGGCTGTTGGGCGGGGCACCTCTTCCGCCAAGGGCAGCTCAGGCTGGGATTGCGGCAGGCACACATTGCCCTGCCCTGCTTCACATGCGTCCCTTTTGCCGCTGCTGTACCGCTTCGTGATCGAAACGCCTCTCCGCCATCCTCTGCCTGCAGGCCCCACGCGTGCTGGCGCCAACCTCGGTGGCGCTGCGGCCGGCCAGCTGCAGCTCGACGCCGCCAACAGGCCACCACTTGGCCATCCTAGGCAGCAGCAGCAGCAGCAGCAACTCCAGGCGCCTCATTGGCAGCAGCCGGTTGCGCCAGCAGCACACCCCCTCGCAGCCCACCCGCCTGGGATCCAGCGCAGGGCCGCGGCGGGGCAGCCAGCGTCAGCACCTGCAGCGGGCCCGCTGTCATCAGCGCCGCGACAACAGCTGGCTGGAGTGGGCGCGGCAGCGGCGACAGGTGATCCTTCTTCTACGTGTGTGTGGGTGGGTGTGTAGCGCGCACCATCCTGCCAGAGCGGGCCATGTGCCTATGTCGGGGCTGGGCCAGCGCTCGGGCCCCCGCCTCTCCGCCCTGCCCCAGGTGGACTGCCTCCTGGAGCTGACGGTGGAGACTGGCCTGGAGCAGTGCGTGCGCCAGGTTTGTCCCCGTGTCCACCCCTTGACTTTGCACCCATTGCGGGCGGGCGCCGACAGCACGCAGTAGGTGCCAGCGCAATGTGCCGCTGCGGCAGCTGGCCAGAAGCTATGTCCCTCCAGCGTTGCCGCATCGCCCACAGTTGTCAACCAGATGGAAGTGGCAGCCCTGCCTTTCCCCCACTCCTCTCACGCTTCTTGGCCTCCGCCATTCCCCTACCACTCTCCTTGCCGCCCAGCCCTGCAACCACCGCCCCCATGCCGCTGCTCTCATGCTGCCTTCCCTTCCTTCCCCTCCCCCACCCACCCTGTGGCACCACGGCAGTCATCAGGGCACAAGCAGCGGGCGCGCCTTCCCGTCGTCAACTCCGCCCTAGGTAGGCCGCCGCTGCAAGCCCTTCACTCAATTCTTGTGTCTGGCATGCGTGCAGCCCGCGCCCTTGGCCTCTGCCCACTGCCTTGCCGTGGGTTGAGGCTGCTGGTGCGGGCTGTGCGCATGCCGACGCAAGAAGTGGGTGGCGGGCTTGTATCGGTGGCACGTGCATGGGCGGGAAATGCATGCATGGCCAGTAGCCTGGGCGGCGCCGCGGCCCACAGCCAGCAGCCATGCGCCGCACGTCAGCGACAGATTGCAGTGCAGCCGCCGTGGCCACCAGGGCCACGGTCCATGCTGCTTGGCATGCTCGCTCTGCCTGCTCTGCACTGCCCGGTCCTGCCCTGCCCTGTCCTGCCATTGCTGCCTCGCATGGCCCAGCCGAGTGCTTGTTTCCCGTTCCATGCTGACGCTGCTTGTGGAGCCCTCCCTGAGCAGGCATGAGCGGCCCCATCGTTGGCGCAGCTGACACACTTCTGTCACCACAGGTGAACATGTCAACCTCACTGGGCCAGCCTTGCCGCGATTGCCTCCCGCTGTGCAGCCCGCCCCCGCCCTCCCTGCCTGGCGCTGCCGCTGCCACATCGCTGTGCGCCGAGCCCTGATGCAGAGACATGCGGGTGACAAGCGCCCCGCTTTGACTTCCCCCAAGCTGTCGCCCCACCCACCAGCGGCCCAAGCGCTGCTGGTGGGTGGCCGCCAAGGCCTCCAGGTGGGTGATGCCCCTGCCTGCGTGGTGCAGGCTGGCGCAGTCGGCCACAGCCAGCCCCTCATTGCATCAAGGGTGGGTACGCCAATCCCACGCGCCATGCCTGCCGCAGGGTCGCCAAAGGCTTGGCCTGGGGGAGGGCCAGGCTGGCCGCCATGTGCACATGACGCTGGATGCGGTCACAGCCGTGCCTGCACAGGTGGGCACAGCGCGCGAAGCGCCGTGCCGTAGGACACGCCAGCTATAGGCGCCGTATTGCCAGCTTCCCCTTCTTACCAATCTTGCCTACACAGCGCCACACACACACACACACACACACACACACACAGTTGCCTGCCCCACCTTTGCAGTCGAGCTGGCGCGATGAGTCAGCAGCCCGGATGGCGGCCGCCCTGCTCATCGAGGACCACCCTGCAGCAACAGGCGCGGTGCCACCCCCAGCGCCATGGCCTGCGCCATCTACCAGCGCTGCTCCGGGCTCTGTTCACCAAGCTGCCGCCGCCAGCCAGCCGCAGGTGAGCCCCCAGGACAGCTCTCCCCTCAAGCTTTGGCACCCGCCCCTATGTTCCGCCCCTCCTGCCCGCCAGCCTGCCCCACCACGGTCACCACGGCGCACAACGCCTGCACCACCACAGCCCACAGCGCCTGACCATCTTTCCACTCGAGGTCCATCACTTCCTATTGCCTCCAACACAAAGCTTCTGTCCCCACCCTGTTTTTCGCAGCACCAGGAACCTGTGCCCGTGCCACCGCCATCCGGTGCGGCAGCGACAGCCGATGCGCCAGCTGCGTCACCGCCGGGGCCACTCGCCCAACCTGGTTCCGGCTCAAGAGCACTCGTGGATCGCCTGCGTGGGGAGGCGGGTGAGCTTAGCAGGAAGGGCATAGCGGGTGGTGAGAATGGCTTGCTGAACCTGTATCCTCTGTGCCTCAAGGCTGTGGCTTGTATGCAACCGCCCAGGCACACCTCCCTTATCTGACGTTGCGCATGCATGTGTGTGTGCATCGCTTTGTGCCTGCAGCCAACACACCGCTGGCTGAGCATGCCGCCCAACTGGAGGGCCGCCCCTACATCAAGGCCATCGGTCAGCACATTGCCACCGGCAACATGCGCGCCGCTACTTTCTTGGTCGCCTTGCCCAGTTTCCTGGAGGGGGACGGCATCCATGCCATTGCTGGTTGCGGCGCTGGCATGGCTCCTGGCGAGGCTCTGGTCCAGGCTGCCATGCCTGCTCTGCTGGCGGCATACACCGGGCTTCCTGTGGAGGCTGTCCAGGTGTGGCGAAACGGTACCACCGTTGCCAGCAATGCCCAGGAGCGGTCGAGCATCGTGCCTGGGATCTTGACTATGATGACAGGTGTGTCAGAGCGCAGCCTGCCTCAGCAGCTCAGTTCTGACAATCTCCTCTCTTGTACGTCTTGCTTATTGCATGCTCTATGTACTCCCCTGACCGTGGTGTGCTGGCGTGCCATGGCGCTGGGTACAGGTGCGGGCGCCAAGGCTGCGTGGGAGGTCATGGAGGCGTTCTCGATGCTCAAGCCTGGCGATGACAAAATGAGAGACGCCATGATGCCGTCCGAGCATCTGCTCCCCCTGCTATTTGGTGAGCACGCTGCCGAAACGCTGGGTGCGCACATGGCAGCAAGGTCCCTGCGCTGGTACTGCTGCACAGTGCAGCAGTACCAGCCTGTCATGTACTGCTGTACTGTCCCTGAACTGCGGTACCGCCTGTCATGTACTGCTGTGCTGCTCCTACACCAAGCTGATGGAGGAACTGTCTGGGGCCAAAAGCTGCCTTGTACTGCTGCACTGTTATCTTGCCGGCACACCACTGAGCCCGATTCTCTCCTGTACCTGCACCACCAACTGCAGGGCACCATTCCTCTTACACCGATGCCAATCACCTGGTGCTTTGCGCTGCTCTACTGCACGGCGGGTATGCAGCAGAGGGCTGCAACCACATGAGCATGTCCAACGGCTGGCTGGAGGTGGAAGCCAGCTTCTGCAGCACCAGCATCGCGGCCATCTTCAGCGCGCGCCGCCTTCTGCGCCACGTGTTGGGCATCGGCACCGAGGCCGGCATGGTGGCGGCGCGGCTTGCAGAGGAGCAGCGCGATGAAGACTATGTGCCATTGGGCAACCGCCAGCGGGCGAAGCCGCAGCCGCCTCCGGATCAGCATCGGCTGGCAACGGGCCTCACAACGTTCTTGGTGGGTGCAAGCCTCCTGCTCGCATACCCATCCTGCTTGCATGCCTCATTAGGGCCTGATCCGGCAGCTGTGCTCTGCCTGTGCTGCTTGGCGCCAGCAATGGACTGGCAGGAGTTTGGTGTGCTGAAACGCGCCCTTTTAATTGTCGCCTCCATTGCAGGGCATTGGCGCCGCCCCCAGCAACCTTAACCTTGTACGAGCTGCCTGGCTGGCGGACAAGATAGCGCTCAGCGACGACCTGCCAGAGGGTGCGCAGGGCTGGCCTGCGAGGAGCAGCAGCAAGGTGCAGCGAGGCTCACATTCCCTCTTCGCGTTTCCCTCTCTGCTTGACGCCCCTGCCATTGATGAACCGCTGGTGCAGGCATGGCGAGCGCCATGGGACGCACTCGGGATCTGCTGCTGGCCAGAGCGCTGGAGCAGATGGGCGCTGCGACCTCCGTCACCAGCGCCGCGCTGCGTGGCTGGCTGGCTGCCTGGGAGCTGCAGTACTCGCGCTACGTGTTGCTGCTGGTGGCCGAGACCGCCTTTGATCAGTGGTGTGCCGCGGGGCGTTGCGATCCTGCCTTGGGCCGCCGCGTGGCGCAGCACATCACAGAGATGCTGCCCCATGCACACCAGACCGATTGCAGCAGCGGTGCGGGCGAGGATTATGAGGAGTTTTCGGAGGAGGTCGTGCACCAGGGGTGCGCCGCGCTGGACTGCTGGGCTCTGCTCACCTGGCTGCTGCTGATGGAGCAGGCGTGGCGGCTGTCGCATGCGGCTGTTCCACCCACCCATCACTGCCCTATGCCCATCACTGCCCTGCAGACTGCGCTCCTACTCAGACGCTGCGGCGACCAACCGCGACCACGCCGGCAACAAGCTCCCCATGTACGTGCTGAAACACAAGGGCAAGCCCGAGGCAGACGCACTGGCGCTGTGTTTTCTGCTGGCGCTGGGCGGCCCGGTGCTTTCTGCACGCAAGGCACCAGCCTTTGCAGCCTATGCGCCCATGGCTGGCATGATTCCTGCTGGTGGGTGCTGTGGCGGCGCCGGCTGCGGGAGCTGTGTTGGCAGGGGGGCTTTATGTTGGGGAGGAAGGCAGCACACGGTGCATACCGCGGTGTGCCGGCATGCTCGGTGCAGTCACTGCACGCATTCACACCGCCTGGCTTCCCAATCTCTCCGAGCGCTTCACGCCACTTTGCTAAGACACTGCTGCCCAGTACTGGCTCTCCTGGCCTACAGGCCAGCCCCGCGTGTTCCTGGAGGCTGTGGTGGAGGTGTACGGAGATGACCTGCCGCAGCACCTGCGCGACCTGTTGTACGTCGCTGGTGCCCCTGGGAGGCTGGCGCCTCCCTTTGACGAGGAGCTGGAGCGGCTGGAGCGGCTGGCAGAGAGCGGGTGAGGGGCAGTCAGCCCGCTGCCGTGCACTGGCATCACCTCTCGGCCACCTGCTACCGCTGATGTCTCTTGAGATGACACCTCCGTACCCTTATTCCTTGGTGCGCAGCGGCATTTTTGCCCGGGACGCTGTTGCAGTTCTTGCTCGCAACGGCTTCCCCATGCACTGGGACACCTTCCGGGCCCGCGTGCGCGACCGCCAGGCTGGCAATCCCCGCGGGCTTGTGTGCCAGACAGGTCGGCTGCCTTTGCCTGATGCAGCCCTGCTGCTGGCTTGCTCGGGTGGTAGTGTGCATGCATGCCATAGCCGATCACTTCCTTCTCACACCCCACTGCCATGCAGCCCACCTCTTGCTCGCCGCACGCCCCATGTTGCCCGGCTACATGCTGGGCGAGTACCAGGCCCCAGAAGCGCTGCCTCTGGACGGCGTGTTGCCCGTTAAAGGCACGCTGCTGCTGCCAGATGATGGGGAAATGTCACAGGTTGGTCACGTCTGCTTGCTTTCTTTCCAGCTGCTGCTGGTAGACGCAGAAGCTGGCGCTGCGCTGGCGGCGCTGCTATGCTGTGATGTGCTGTGCTGTCATCGGGGGCCATGGACCCACCTGCCCCAACCCCTGACCCACGCCTGCAGGAGGAAGTGAGGGAGGCGGTGGCCGACTACCTCAACCTTCTGGACGGCAATCCAACCTGGTGTTTCAGCCGGCGGGACGGCGCCAACGTGCTGCGGCGCATCAGCAGGCTGCAGAGTTTGGTAGACCCTCCCACGATTCTCTTTGTGAAAGCACAGTTTGTGGCTGACATGCGCATCTGGCTCAGCAGCGATTGCGACGGCCACGCACCCCAGCTGGCTGCCTACCAGCTGCCAGCGGTGATGCCCGGCAGTGCGGCGCCAAACCAGCAGCCCATCATGCTGCCCGCGCCAGGCCAGATGCTGCTGCAGCTGGTTGGTCAGCCCGCGGAGGGCAACCGCCTGCCCGCTGTGACTGGCATCAAGGGCAACATGTTTACATACGACACCGCGCCAGCAGAGTGTGTGCTGGTGCTTGTGGCGCCAGACGGCACGGTTCAGCACACCATGCACTGCCACATCTCGCTGGCCATGAAGGCCAGTGTTGCGGCGCAGGCGGCGGCGGCGGCGCTGCTTGCAGTGGCAGGAGGAGCCGACGAGGAGGAGGTGCGATGCTGCTGGTGGGCTGGCAGGCTGGCAGCAGCGCTCACCCAGCGTCACTCGCTTGCCCACAATGCTGCCCCTCCTTCCAGCCATTTGGGTAACTAGCGCATCAAGCACACCGACCCACCCCCACCCCCCTTTGCCGGCCTGCTTGCCGCTGCAGGTGCTGGACATGGGCAGCATCGGGCCGGGCGTCGTGCCGCTGGTGGTGGCGAGCGGCCTGCGCGTTATGGTGACGCAGGTGGACTTGCACATGCTGCCGCTGGCACAGTGTGAGGAGGTGGAGGTGTCCCTGTACACCCGCCTGCAGTCGCTGCGAGCAGAGATGACGGCGTTGCTGCGAGGCGTCAAGGTTAGCATCAATGGGTCCAAGCTGCGGCTCTCAGTGTTCCAAACGGCTGGCGCTGAGCTGCAGCACCAGCGCAGCAAGCTGCCACAACTGCTGTTCCACGTGCTGCAGCCACAGCTGGATGAGCAGCAGCGGGCAGCAGCAGTAGCAGCAGCGGCGGCAGCATCTGCAGCCGCTGCCCAGCCCAGCCTGGCGCAGCCAGCTGCTTGGCCAGTGCTTGGGCTGAACCCGGCCTACGCAGCAGCCTGGCCGGTGCATCTGAAGGCCATGCGGGCGCTGCTGCTGCAGTGCACTGCCGCCGAGCTGCCGCCCAGGCACGACACCACAGTGCCCGCGCTGACCACGCACGTGAAGCAGCAGATTGCTACGCTGCAGCAGAGGATGATCAATGAGAACGCAGAGTACAACCTGGTCATCGTGTCTCACGAGGTGATGCCCCAGCGCTTGTTCCGTCGCAGCAACTGTTGTATTGCTACACCTGCCTGTAGCTCAGCCCATCGCTCTCTTGTTTTGCTTGAATGCAGGCGAAGAAAGGCGTCGCCCCCGGCATCTCCAACGGCCTGAGCTACATGACCAGCATGTTCCTGTGCATGGCGCTGGTGCAGCCTGCCGCCACCTCGCCGCTCTCCTGGGAAGTGTTTAGCAAGGGCCTGCTAGAGGACGACGACCTGGCATCGCTTCGCCACCCCCTGACCAAGTGCCACCCTAAGTTCAAGGAGGGCAAGCTGCTGGAGTGGAAGAACGCCCCAGGCAAGTAGCGACGGGGTGGAGCCGCACTTCGCGGCACGGGGCAGCTGGCGGGCACAAAGCCTGGCATGCGCTTCCTGTCCTCTTTCTGCAAGACTTAGGTAGCGTCTTGTCTTGCATCTGAGGCCGTTGACTGCGTGTCACCGCAGGAAAGGCGGCGCACACGCGGGGGCGTGACGGGGGCGTCCAACCCACGGCCACCAAGACCTTTGGGGGGTGGATGGCCAATGAGATGGGGCTGCTGGATGGAAGTGATCGCTATCACGCGCAGCTGCTGGGTGGCACGGCGCGATCGGCGGCGCTGGCAATGGTGGATGTGATGCTGGCGTGGTTTGCCAATGAGTAGAGTCGCAGCGGCTGTGGCGACAGAAACCCCTTCTGCTGCAGCATATGTCTTGCAGCCGCCCCACCGGCATCTGTTCCCCTTATTATCAGTTTGCATTCTGTGTTTGCTCGACTGCTGTATGTAATACATGGCCTAGTGTGTAACGAGTACCGGGGACTAGAGCAGGCATCGTTTGGCAGCTGTAGACAGATGCCAACAGAGGGCAGGCGGCGGCGGTGAAGCCACTCTCATTTTGGCGGCGCCCAGCGGCCCCTGCCCAGGTGAAGCCATTCTCATTTTGGCGGTGAAGCCACTCTCATTTTGGCGGTGGCGGCGCCCAGCGGCCCCTGCCCAGGTGAAGCCACTCTCATTTTGGCGGCCGCGCCGCACCTCCCCAGGCAGGTGAAGCCCCCGCCTGCTGCCGCAGCCCTTTGTGCGCTGCTTCGCGCCTACGCTCAAGGCGTTACAGGGTGGAGGCCTAGTTGCGCACAGCAAAAGCACCCGACCTTCCCCGCCGCCGCCACACTGCCACAGCCGCGAGGGCTGCAGCCGCTGTGTTCACCACTCCACGCCGGCGGCCTCGGCGTAGTTGACGTCGTCGGAGGAGGAGTCGTCGGCGGCGGGGATGAGGCCCTTCTCGCGGAACCACGCAAAGCCGGCGTTGATAGCGTCGTCGCGCTGCGGGCGGGCGGGGGACGGGGGGCGGTGTGGTGCTGAGGCTGAGCCCGCTCAAACAGTGGCGAGCAGCGCACGAGGCAGCTGACGGCCCGACTCCAGTGCCATGGCGCCATAAGCGTGGCCCGCAGCCGGAGGCGACTGGCAGCAGCCTGCCCATCCGCAGTCTGCCGGCAGCCCAGCCCCCTCCCGCACCTGCTTGAGCGGGAAGTAGCCCTTCTCCTGGTCCTGGGGCGACACAGCCTTGAGGAACTCCTCGCTCTCCTCAATGATCTGCGGCCGGGGGGCACAGCGGGGGTGCCGCGTTGGCGCCGCACACCAAGAGCCAGCGCAGGTGGGGGCTGCACCCGCGGTGCCGCGCCCGCCACCCTTGCGCCTCGGCCCCACCGCCTGGCTCCCTTGGCTCCCTTGGCTGCCCAGGCACACACCCCTCACACGCGCACACCTGGTGGCCCTCCACGGGGCCCAGCACTGCGGCGGACCACTCCTTGAGGCTGATGCCCTTGGCCTCCGACAGGGCCTTGGGCAGGTGGAAGTACACAGCCAGCTGCTTGTCGCCCGCAGACAGGAAGCACTGCAGGAGCAGAGGAGGCGGGTGCGGGCGAGCACGCGCAGGTCAGGCAGCTGAGCGACATGCCAGGTGCGCATCGCTTTACTTGCACACGGTGTGGCGCTCGCAAGCGAACTGGCGACATGCGCAGCAGGCTGGGGATGCTGCGGATGCTGCCGGCCGCGCCCCCGCTCGCCGCACCTTGCCCAGGTCGCCGGCGCCGCCCTTGCGCTCCTCGGCAGCCTCGTCCACCTCCACGTTGGCGCCCTCCATCACCTGCTCGCACCAAGGCACGCACCAAGGCAGCGGCAGCAAGCGGAATGGTGGAGGCATGGACGCCGCTCAAGCGTGTGCTTCTAAACAACGGCCACATAGTGCTGCCAATCAGGTGCTGCTGCCAACAGCGAAACCGCGCCAGCTGCATCCCCGCGGCTTGAACCTGTTGCAAGCACCGACGGCCTGCTGCCTGGCACGTGAGAAGCACGGCAGGAAGGCAGCTCATGCCCGCCGCTGAGCCGCACGCGCCCCGCACCTTCTCCAGCAGCGCCATGTCGCCGTTGGGGGTGTCCACCGCCAGGTTGAAGAAGCAGACGCCGCCCATGGCCGACACGCCCTGCAGAGAGCGGGAGCAGCAGCACGGTGAGCAGAAGCGAGAGGGCCCTTGCGCCGCCGCAGCCGCCGCCGCGGGTTGCCGCCGCTGGAGCGCAAGCAGCCAGCAGGCGGGGCCCGACAATCGCTGCACAGCCCCATGCACCATCCCCGGGCCATCAGAGGGGTGTGCGAGGCCTGCCGGAGCCATCGGCGGCAGGCATGCAGCGGACACTGCTGCGGACGCAGGCGTCCTAGGTGCCCAGGAAAGCCCCAGCACCTGGAGGTCCACCCCCTTTTTGCCTCCCTCCTTAAAGCTCGCGGCTTGCTGCTTGGCGTCAGCCATCTTGGCGATTGCAGATGCTGGAGGTCCGGGAGGGTGGTGCAACCGATGCTAGCACTTGAAAAGGACCTGATGGGGGCAGCGGGGGCCGTTTTAGGCGAGCCGCCACGGCAAAGAAAGTCGATAGGAAGGAAGGCTGTTCTCGCACGCTGGGAGGGTTGGTAGGGCTGCAACCCCACCGCCATCGCCATCGGGCCATTGGGAGGCCACCGAGTCGGTTGAACTGCCACAGGGCACCACATGCTCCACATGCCAACCGCCCCCATGGTGTGGGGACCCGCCCGTCTGGTGTCATAGCAACCTCCTGGGAGCCCAGGATGTGTGACTGGGGTGATGGACACAGTCTTGCGTGTGAGCAGAAGAGGATAGCGACATGCAAAAGGCGAGCTAGAGAAACGACAGTCAAGGAAGCAGCCGGTGCAGTGGCGACTTGCTCACTCGTCCTCACTGTCGCTCAGCACCACTTGCCGCCGCTGCTTGACTGCTGGCTGCTGCTGCTGCTTGCTGGGCGGTGGCGCCTCCTCCTCTTCTGCCGCTGCCGTGCCGCCTGCCCGTCCACCCTCCTCCTCTTCCTCTTCGTCAACGATAAAGTCCTGCAGTCCAGCAGGCGGAGGCACACTCAAAAGCGACGTTCAATGAGCAGGCGCAGCACACTTGTAAGAGCTAAACGGAAAGCAATGCACAATGCGCCCCGCTGGCACGTCGCCAGGCAATGAGGGCAGCGCAGGCCAGCAGCCAGCGCATACCTTCATCTCCTCCTCGTCCTCCTCCTCCTCAGCACTCAGCTCCTCCTCCTCCTCCTCCTCCTCCTCTATGCGTCGCCGCTTGCCGCCTGGCGCCGGCGCGCCGCTCTTGGCTGCCGCCAGTCGCGCCGCCGCCTCCTCCTCGTCCTCATCATACGCGCCCCGCGCCCGCCCCAACATGCGCTGCCGCTGCGCCTCCTGCAGGTCCTCACCCATCCCCTCCTCCTCATCCTGGTCCTCATCCTCCTCCAAGTAGTCTGCGGCAGGCCCAGGGGCACAGCAAGCGGGGGGAGAGGAGGAGGGGGAGGCGCAGGGCAACGGGTGGGGGAGGGCGGCGCAGTGCAACACAACAGTAATCAAGCAGCTCCCCAGCTGCAGCCCTGCATTTTCACACATGGCAGCCCCAGCCCAGCCCCCGCGGCCCAGCCCCAGCCCACCTGCGTTGAGCTGCTGCGGCATGCGCGCGCGCGGCATGGCGGGCAGCCCAAACTTGCGCATCGTCTTGGTCTGCCGCTCCGCCAGCTTCTCGCGGCTGCGGATGCGCTCCGCCTCGGCCCGCTCCTGCTCCGCCTTGAGCTTCTTGGGGTCCACCAGGGTGGTGGTGGCGCGCACCTGGCGGAGGGCGGCAGGGGGAGACAGGCAGGCAGGCAGGCAGGCAGGGTTCAGAGGCATGACGGGGCCAGCTCAGAGCAGCGGGACATCAGAGGCGTCGTCTTTCAGCTGGCAAGCGGAGCCACGCAACCAGCGGTGCTGCCCAGCATGCATGCATGCCCCAGCATGCAGGCTGCCCGCTCGCAAATCTCCCTCCCCTCCCCCCCGACAGCAGCACACAGCAGCGCCCGCACCCTCTGCGTCTTGACGTGCAGCTTGTCGGCCGCCGCCCGCAGCTGCTTGTGCAGGTTGCTCTGCAGCGAGGCGGGCTGGAAGACCATCTTGCGGGTGAGTTGGCCCTGGCCCTGGATCAGCCCCGGCAGCCGCACGCACATGTAGGTGTGCTCGTTGCTGCAGGCAGGCAGGCAGGCAGGCAAGGCAGGCAGAAGCCAAGAGGGTTGGTGTGGTGTGGCGTGGTGTGTGAGCAGGTGGGCAGAGCAGGGCAGGGCAGGGCAGGACATGGGGAGGAGGGGCCACCAACGGGTGAAGGCTTCCTCGTCGCTTACAGCAGACGGCGGGCAAGTGGCCTGACCGCAGGCTGCTGCACTCCTCATGCCCACACCAGGCCGTGCCCTGCCCCTCACTCACGTCGTGTCGATCTCCTTGACATCCATCACCTCATCGCCCACCACCAGCTGCAGGCTGCCGTCGCTCCAGCGCACAAAGCGCGCGTTGCTCTCCCGCACCTGGTTGCCCTCCTCGTCCACCCCCCACCTCCACCTGCAGTGGTGGCGGCGCGGCGCAGCAGCAGCGGGCACAGGGCATCATCAAACACACTGCCCGCCTGCGACTGAGCGAGGCAGCGGCACCCTGCTGCCGCCACCGCAGGTCCCTCCGCCTGCTTCCCTTGCGCCATTCCTCGTCCACGCCACCACGCTCTGCTTCGCTCTGCTCCCAGCCCCTTGCCACGCAAGCTGCCCCACCCTACCCACCCACCCACCAACCCAGCCCCCACCTGATGCAGTTCTGGTCTCTGAGGCGCACGCGCTTGAAGCCGCGCTCGTCAACCTCCTCCTCCGCCCCCGCATCAAACGTGTCGGGGTCAAACGGCCGCGCCTCCACCCCCAGGATGTTGGGCAGCTTCACCAGGCGCAGGCTGTCCTGCGGCTGCACGTCAAACGTCTCCAGGTCGACGTACACGGGCGGGCCGCGCGCCGCGCCCGGGCTGGGGCTCCTGCGGGCCAGGCAGCGAGGGGCGGGTGAACGGGAGGAGGGAGCGTGCGTGCACCTGAGCAGCGGCCGATGGAGGCTTGAAAGCAGAGCATGGGGGTAGAAGGGGGCAAGGCCAGGCGAGCGGGCGAGCGGCACCTGGCGGGGTACTCGTCCTCGTCCTCCCCCAGAGCCTGGGTGACCGGATGGCTGGCCCCAGGCGGCTCATCGTCCTCGTCCGAGCTGCCAAAAAGGTTGGTTGCCGCTGCCTTGCCAGCCTGCCGCTCCGCCTGTGCCTCATCGCCCCCAGCACGCGCCTTCTCCGCCTGCGGCGCCTCGTCGTCACTGTCGCTGCCGAACAGATCCTTGACCTGCTCGTCCACCATGCCGCTGGCTCCCCTGGGCGGTGCCCCAAATCGCAAAGCCTTGATCGGTGGGGTAGGGGCTTGAGAGCGGGTGGGACCGCGTTATAGAAGTTTGCTGAAGATAGATGGCACGCTGGGAAGCCGCACAAGCAACAAATGACTGCCAGCGGGCATAGCACGGCCACAGCAGTGGTGGGAACGCCCCGTCTCTGCTGTGCTTTGATCGATATCCCGGCAGTGGCGGCAGTAGGCAGACCGCCAGCTGTTGCAAGCAGCCCGCGCAGCCACCCCTCACCCCACTCTCCCCGCCTCCTCAGGCCCCGTTCCTGCGGCCCCAGGGCGCCCCAAGCAAGGGGCAGCCGGAGCCAGCATGCTGAGCAGGCAGCTGGCAGCGCAGGCGCCCGCCTGGCTGCGGGCGGCGGGGGCGCGTGGCGCGGCGGCGGCGGCGGGCGAGGTCGTCCCGGTGAAGGGGAGGAGCGAGGACGGCATCACCACCACCGTGCCCGGCCAGGCCTTTGTGGGGGACCTGCGGTCCACCAGCGCGCTGGCGGTGGGCGACGGTATCTTCAACCACACCAAGAAGTGGCTGCAGGCGAGCTGGCCCTGGCGGCGGGAGAGGCATGAGCGGGCAGCGTGGGATAGAGCCACTGAAGGCCGCTGGCGCAGGAGTCCCGCATCACCACAGCCTCAGCCAGCCCTGGCAAGAGGACTTCGCGCTCACTCCCCCTCCCTCCCTGCCGACCGCCCTGCCTGCGCCGCAGGGCGAGCACAAGAGCCCCATGGAGTACATCCAGAGCACAGAGCCGATCAAGGTCCACGGCCTGGTGGTGGCCTCCTACGGATGTGAGGGGGACCGCGCCGCCGCCGCCGCCGCCGCCGCAGCAGCAGCAGCAAGGACCCTGCCTGCCCCTCTGCTCTGCATGCCCGAGCTCTCGCTCCCGGCTGCCCCTCCATGCCTGATGCCGACGAGTTGCGCTGTGCCGCCTGCGTCATGCCGTGCAGACGACGACCCTGCCCTGGGCTGCCCTGTCGAGTACATCAACCTCAAGGTCGGGCTGGGCAGCAGCGCGGGGTGGGGAAGAGGGTTAGGGTCGGTGCACTGGGTGACACCGCGCACTCCAGCGCCGCCTGCCTGGCTGCAGGGGACCACCCGCGACAACCCCGCCGTGTGCAAGTACACAGGTGAGGCCGCCGCATGATGCCACGGCGTGTGCGTTGCGTGTTGACCCAGTGCTGTTGCCCACGCTCACTGTGAGCCTCCTCCTGCGCACCCCCGCCTCCACTCCCCCACAGGGAACAAGTTCTATTCCGACGACTGGGTGGGCGGCGGGGCCCACTAGATGGCTGGCCGCACGCGTGTGCCGCCCTGGTGGTTGATGCACTTGTATCCACAAGCGCCTGTAACATGTGTGCTCTCGGAGTAGCTACACAAGCAACCCAGGCCAATTTACAAAAGCTGTTTCCAGCCTCCTGAGCTCAGTACGTACCACTCTTCCAGCCCTGAGGCTCACTGCAAGGCGGAGTGCGAGGCTGCTTCCTGCCCAAGCCGCCGTCACCTTCGCCGCTTGGTGTGCCTGCCAGCAGCTGGGCCGGGCCGCGCATCCTGCGCGTCTCCCAGGTCGGCCAGGCTAAACCCCTCCTGCTCATCCATCAGCATGCCGCTGCTGTCCGCTTGCGCCTGCACGCAGCGCGGGCCAGCAACACACAGCAGCACAATCAGCAACAAAAGCGGGCCCAACATGGACCAGAAAGGCTGCTAGAATCTAGCAGGCAGCAAGAGGAGAGTAGCGGTGCAGCCGCAGCCCCCACTACTGAATGCCCACACGGCCACCCATGGCCGCCATGCCCCACCTGCAGCTCGATGGTGGTGCGGATGCTCTTCCGCTCCCGCTCCAACGCCTTCTCCGCCTCGCTCCTGGCCTGCTCCGCCGCCGCCGTGGCGTCGAGCGTCCAGTCGATGCGCTGCTCGATGCCGGCCAGCACGCCGTTGGCGGCGCCCAGCCATTCGTCCAGCGCCCCGGCCACCCCCGCCAGCTGGTCGGGCGGCACGTCTCGGCAGAAGGCGTCCTCCACGTGCAGGCACCTGTGCAGGGGTGGGGCACCTCAGGCGCGCAAGCAGTTGCTGAGGAGACAGCTGGGGCTGCAGGGGGCACGCCTACGGGTGCAATGCAATCGATGCGCTGCCTCCAGCCAAGCCGCTATCCATCCGCGTCGCCTGCCCCTCCCCGAGACGCCTCTGGCCACGCCCCGCCATCTCACACCCGGCCCGCCGCACCCCCTGCCTTGCGAACACACGCCACCACCCCAGGCCCCGGCTCACTTGTTGCGCTGGTCCAGCTTGCCGCGCAGCAGGCCGCCGTACAGGCAGTCTGCGATGAGCAGGTCCTCCAGCGCCCGCACGCTGCCCAGCTCCAGCCGCACCAGCAGGTCCTGGTAGGCCAGCGTGCGCACGCCGTCGGCCGAGCTGACCACGCTGAGCAGCTTGAGCTTGCGCGCCTGCGCCTCGGACAGCGCTGGGTACTTGCCGGCGGGTGCGGCTGCAGCGGCGCACAGGACAGGGCCGGTGGTTGGGGGGCAGGGGTTGCTGATGGCTGGCTGGCAGCCCGGCCGACATGGCATGCAGGTGGAGGGGCGCGCGGCAGTGTATGCAGCAGCGCTGCTGCTCAGTGCACTGCCAGCCAGCAGTGCACTGGCAGCCGGAGCCGAGGAATGGTGTTTTGCCGACGCACAAGACACGGGCGGCTCGGCCCAGCCTGAGCATGCATGGCGCGCACCTCTATAGTCTTGCCACGTGCCATATGCGAACAGCTGTAGCAAGTCGTATGCTGCCTCATGCTGGCCCCCTTCCAGCTGCAGGCGGGGAGGCGAGAGGTTGGCGGCAGAAGCGGCGGCAGCGAGCAGCGGGCGGGCCAAGCGCGCCCCACCGGCCTCACCTCCTGCACCCCAGGCAGGCTCAGAATCTCCCCAAAGGTGAACAGCCCTGGCTCTGAAGTGCACTTGGTGATCAGGTCCACCAGCGCCAGGCCCTTGGCGCTCTTAGCCAGCAGGAGGAACTGCTCCACCTTGGCTGCATTCTCGGCCATTTGGAGGGGCCCTGGGCCGCGCGCCGGGCGGCTAGGGAGACCAGGGGCGACCCGGCAGCACGGGATGGCTGATCAGAGGGGGCAGGCAGGCACTCAGGTTTAGCCCTCTGCTGATGTCTGTGTGCAGGGATGAATTGATCGCGATTTCATGCTGACCCTGTCACACGAGCGCCACCTGGGCATTTCCGACACAAAGTTGCTCTTGCAGCCAACCATCTCATCTTTCTATAATCATTTTGCCTGTGCACTGGCCTCTCAGTCCAGCCCACGCCCTCTGGCTGCGCTTCCAACACCGCTCTGGAAGCCTCCCCCACCCACCCACCCTCCTCTGTATGCTCCTGCTGTCCTCACAGACGCTGTCCAGCGTCAGGCCGCAATGCCCGAACAGCAGGCACGGCGAGACACAAGCCAGCGCCGGCGCTGCGGCTCGGCGTCGGGCACCGGCGGCGCTGCGCCTCTGGCTGCAGCAAAGCAGGGGCAGGAAGCCGCTGCCTGTGCATGCAGCCAATCGGGATGAACTGGGTGGCGTGTCTGACATACTGAACAAGTATGGCAGCACCAATGGCAGCGGCCTGCCGGCACGAGGTGCGTGCCGCGGGGCACTGCTGGCTGCCGTAGCAGTGGGGACCTGTGCCATATGCTGCAGACTGCCTGTTGGGCTGGAAGCAATCGGGAGAGGGCGTGTTCCAGCGCAGCGTGGAATGCCGGTTTCGTGTGCGTGTTGTCATGCGCTCATTCCGCTGCTCGCTCTTCCACGTGCGCAGGGACGCCACAGATTGCGGCGCAGCAGCAGCCGCAGGCGGTTAGCAGCACGAATGGCATGGGCAATGGCGTGTTCCTGGTGCTGCTCATCAACTTTGGGCTCTATGCGGGGGCCAACCTGCTGCACCTGCCAGCCCTGTCAAACCTGGCGCTCAGCCACTGGAAGCCGCAGTGGTGGCAGTTTGTCACATCCACCTTCATGCACGCCAACTGGCAGCACCTCAGGTGGGCTGGCTGGGGAGCTGCAAGCGCTGCACGCCGCTGCCTCGGGGGCCTTCGTTGCTAGTCACCGCCGCCGCATGATCTGATTGCCTCCCTGCTGCCTGCTCGCCCCTTGCAGCTCCAATGCCTTTGCGCTGTTGGTGTTCGGGCGGCAGGTGGAGGAGGAGGAGGGCGCGCTGGGCCTCTGGCTCACTTACCTGGTTGCGGGCGTGGGCGGCGCTGTCGCCAGCTACCTCTCCTCGCCCCACACCCGCACCATCTCACTGGGCGCCTCGGGCGCGGTCTTTGGCCTGTTCATGGTGAGAACCGAATGTTTGGCGCTGGGCCTGGCTGTGCTTCGTTTTAAGCAGAGCCAGCCTGCCGGCCCCTGCTGGCTCCACTGTTCTGAGCCGGCATGTGCCTGCTGAGTTTGCTGACGCAGGTGGCTGTGATCACAAAGTTCAAGCCGAGCCTCAGGAAGCTGCTTGAGCTCGTCATCCTCGGATCCTTTGTGGTGCAGCAGGTGCTGGGCGAGCTGCAGATGGCGGCGGGCGGAGGTCTTACTGTCGGCGGCATGCAGGTCGGGCACGTGGCTCACTTGGCCGGCGCGGCGGCTGGCGTGCTGCTCGTCCTGCTGCTGTCACGGCTGCCAGAGCCTGCAGAGTGACAGGCGATGGTCTTGCACAAAAGTGCCACCTGCCCTTCGGTTTCGTCAAGACTGTCTAGTCAGAAGATTCATACCATGTCTGTTATGCATACGTTTTGAACAGTTTGGGGCAACCAGCAATGAATGGCTCGGCATTTGGGCTGCTGTAGCTGATGCTGGGTATGCTGGCGGAGGGCGGTGCGGATCAGGCGGGAGCTTGTACTGTATGCTCCTGTTGTCGGCTAAACTCGTTTAGCCCGCGTGTTTCTTCCGTCTGTGTCTGTTTCTTCAATTCAAGAATGCCGCCTGCAATAGCTGACGCTCTGGGAAGAGTGGTACCCTAGCTGCCTCCTGGGCCCTTGCTTTTCTTCCTGCGCCTCCCACCAGGCAAGCCTAGCCTGCGATGGCCCGCGTGGCAGGTCCCACCCCAGCACGCGCCAGGTCGCACCTTAAGTGGGCTGCCACCACCGCCGCCGCCTTCCTCCTCCTGCCAACCGTCCTGCTCCTCGTCTGCTTGGCACGCTCGCACGGATGCATGTTCAACCCATGCGATTCTTGGGATAGGGTTGCCGAGATTCCAGAGCCTGGGGTCGGCGTGGCGGCCTTCTTCAACTCGAGCGGCGCGCGGGAGCTGGCGGCGGGCAGGTTTGTCCGCAGGCGGCCAGGCAGGCAGCTGCGCATTCCCAAGCTTCTGCACCATGGTGAGTGCTGTCCCTCCTGCATCCCATCTGATGCAGCCGTCCACTCCATTTCCCCGCCCTGAGCTGCCTTGATCCCCTGTCCCCGCCTGCCCTGGGCAGTGTACCTCCCAGACGAGCACGCGTTTGCCGAGGCGGCAAAGGCGGGCAAGCTGCGGGCGGAGTGGCCGCTGAGCTGCCGGCTGATGCACCCCGACTTTGAGCACATGCTCTGGGACATGAGGGCGGCAAAAACCTTAATCAAGCGGGTGAGGCGGGCGCTTCTGATCTGTGGGGAGCGCCGCTCCCCCGATGTGGCTGCCCCAATGGCAGTTGCAGGAGCGGCACAAACCCCGCCCTCACCCCGGCCCCCTGCCTGCCGCAGCACTACCCCGAGCTGCTGCCCGCGTTCCTAGGGTACAACGAGGTGACGCGCCAGTCGGGCGCCATCCGCGCCGCCATCCTGCACCGCTTCGGCGGCCTGTACCTGGACATCGACGTCTCCTGCCTGCGCCCCTCCACCGACATGCTGGCGGGGGCCGACGTGGTGCTGCAGGTGGGCTTGCCTGCAGAGGTTCAGTGCAGGCGGGGCTGCAGGGTACGGGCATGAAGCCGGGGCGGGCCAGTGCGCTTCATCTCCCCTGAGGGGATAGGATCCCTCTGCTGCCACCTCGGCCAAAGCTGCCAAACCCTGGCGCCGCCCTCCTGCCCGCCTGCCCTGCCGCTGCGCCAGGGCGCCGCCACCAGCCAGCCGGTGAGCAACGGCGCGATGGCCAGCGTGGCGGGGCACCGCCTGTGGGCCCAGGCGATGGAGCTGATGGTGGAGCGTTTCCTCACAGACCCCAAGATGCCCATCTCCAACCTCACCGGCCCCGGCCTGCTGCAGTCAGCTCTCGAGGTGGGCGCCAGCACCGGCTGGGCGGGCGCGGCGGGCCGCTGCGGCTGCATGCGGGTCCGCGTCCCGTGCGGTGGTGCACCGCTGCACGCCGCAGCTGCCGGTATGTCATGTGTCGAGTGGGCTGGGGTCCATGGGCGCATGTCGTGTGCGTACTCGGTGCAGGAGATGGGCATCGCGCCCATAGCAAAGCCTGGCAAGGCGGCGCGCCCGCTGTCGGGGCTGCACAAGAAGGACGGCGGCCTGGTGAGGATTCACCCGCACGGCACCTTCTTCTCGCCGTGCGGGTGGAGCGCTGAGGGGTGCCATCGCAAGCTGGCGCTGCAGCTGGCGGTGGGGACCATCCCCCCTAACCTGGTTGGGTATCACCGATACCTGGCCAGCTGGCTGCCTGGAGGCAACCCCGCGGGCATCTTCAGCCAAGAGGATGCCGCCAAAAAGATGGCAGCCGGCACCAGCAAGACTGGGGCCGCTACCGCAGCAGCCAATGCGCCAGCTAGCAGCAGCAGCAGCAGCAACAGCAGCAGCAGCAGCGGCAGCAGCAACTGACCCACACTGACTGACGCTGACCTTGGCTGCCAGGCGGTACTGCCTCGCGCTGCAATTCTTCATTACAAATACGAACTGATACGCTTGGCAAAGCCAGGTTGGTGACCTGGCTCGCTCGATGAAATTCCGAAACCGACGAGACCCCTGAGCAGCGCGCCAGCCTGCAGGCAAGCCGCCAGCGCGGCGGCGGCCCAGCCCTCGCCGCCTGCGCCGCCGCTAGCCGGCGCGTGTGAAGTTGCCTAGGGCCAGCGCCGCCGCCACTCGGTCCAGCGCCTTCTCCAGGGTCTCCATGGATGCGGCGTAGCTGATGCGTATGCAGGAGGGCGCCCCAAAGGCGTCTCCAGGCACCAGCGCCACGTTGGCAGTCTCAATCAGGTACCTGCAGAACAAGAAAGAAAGATGGAAAGGATGAGGAGCCGGCAGGCAGGCGCAGGGGGCTATCAGGGAGGCCCCAGGTGGCCAAGCGGGCGGAGGCAGCACGGGCAAGGCAGGCAGGCGGGGAGGAGTGGGTGCGGCACCTGCACAGCGCGTCCACATCCTCCACCGGGCCCCAGCCGCGCGCCTCCACCCCCGGCCCCACAAAGGCCGCCACCTCTGGCATAACGTAAAAGGCGCCCTGCGGCGCCGCCAGCCCCACGCCCGGGATCTGCTGCAGCCGCTGCGTCACAAAGTCCTGCGGCAGGGTGGTGGGCGGCGAGGGTGGTGGGGCTTGGTGAGAGAGGCGGGAGGTGGAGCGGGCGCAGCAGCGTCAGGCAGGCAGCTGATCGGCCGACGCCCGGGGTGGGGGGCAGCAGCGAGAGGCGGCAGCAGCAGCAGGGGAGGCAGCAGGCGCACCCTGCGCTGCTCAAACGCCGCAATCATGTCTTGCACCAGCGGCCCGCCCTGCGGCCCCATGCCCAGCGCCGCGACCGCCGCGTGCTGCGCTATGCTGCTGGCGCCAGACGTGCTCTGGCTCTGGATCACCGCCGCCGCCTTGGCAAAGTGGCGCGGCGCGGCCAGGTAGCCCAGGCGCCACCCCGTCATCGCGTATGCCTTGCTGAAGCCGTTCACTGCAGGCGCAGGTAGGCACGGACACAGGCAGGGCGCAGGGGCAGGGGCGATGCGGTTGGGGGCCGAAGGCAGGGGCAGGAGAGCGCGGCAGCGGCAGCGGCATGGGGCAGGCCACCGCCTGCCGCGCCGCCGCCGTCTCCCGCCGGGCGCAGCCCCCGGCACCTCTGCCCTGCACACCACACGCCTCCCCTGGCATGACAGGCAGGCCCGGGCCTCTCTCACCCGCCGCGCCCGCCCCTGCCCTCCCTCACCCGTCAGCGTGCGTTCGTACATGCCGGGCAGCGCGGCGAAGCTGTGGTGCGCTGCCGGGCGGTACACGATGTACTCATAAATCTCATCCGACAGCACCAGCAGGCGCGGGTGCTCCGCCACCACCTCGGCCAGCGCCTCCAGCTCCTCCCTGCCACGTCACAGCGCAGCGCAGCGCAGCACGCGACAGGATATGAAGCGCACGGACCGGAGGCAGGCAGGCAGGCATGGCAGGCAGGCAGGCATGGCAGGCAGGCAGGCAGGCAGGCAGCGCAGGCAGGGCGGGGCAAAGCGGGGCGGGGCGCGGCCGGGCGGGGCAGGCAGGCAGCGTTGGCCAGCAGCACCCCGCCAGCGCTGCTACAGGCGGGTGGCTGGGGCGAAGGCACACCGGCCGGATGGCCGCCGACGGCAGCGGGCTGCTGGCCCGCCACCGGCCCACACCTGGTGTACACGGCTCCCGTGGGGTTGGAGGGCGTGCACAGGATGAGGAGGCGTGAGCGGGGCCTGAGCGCGGCGCGCAGCGAGGCGGGCGTCAGCTTGAAGCCCTCCTGAGGCGTGGCCTCCACGATCACGGGGGTGGCGCCCGCCAGGCGGGCCATCTCGGGGTAGGAGACCCAGAAGGGGGCGGGGATGATGACCTGGCGGGGGTGGGGCGCCATGCGCGTGTGTGTGTGTGGCGGGCGAGGCATGGGCCCAGCGGTCGGCGACCAGCGGCCCGCAGCCAACCAGGCGAGCTGGCGCCGCCACCAGCCCTGCCGCAAAGAGGAGGGAGGGGCCGCCAGCCCGCCGCTCCCCGTGCCCACACCAAGCGCACGCGCCGGCGCGCGCACCTCGTCCTCGGGCGCGCACACCGCCAGCAGCGCCTGCCAGATGCACTGCTTGGCGCCGTTGCTGACCACGATCTGATCTGGGTCGTACCGCACCCCGTTCTCCGCCTCCAGCTTGGCACACACCGCCTTGCGCAGCGCCGAGGTGCCGGTGTTGGGGGTGTAGCGCGTGAGGCCCAGCCGCAGCGCCTCCACCCCCGCCTCCACTATGGGGGCGGGGGTGTCAAACTGCGGGGCAGGGAGGGTGACCCGGCCAGAAGAGGAGGGAGGGAGGTGCGCTGTGGGGCCCAGCGCCAGGCAGCAGAGCGCCCGCCCGCAGCCGCCTCGTGGCTGGCGCGGCGCACAGACGTGGCACACCCCCAGCAGGGGCGAGCAGGCGGTGCACAGGTCAGGTAGGCGGCGAGCCAGGGAGGCGGGCGGGGCGTGCGTCGGCGGCGGGGCAGGAGGCGGGGCGGCCTCACGTCGGGCTCGCCCGCCGCCAGGCCAATGATGTCGGCGCCCTCCTCTTTGAGCTTTGTGGCCAGGTCAGTGAGGGCCATGGTCTTGGAGGGCTTCAGCGCCGCCACCCGCGGGTTCAGGGTGGTGTCCACGGGGGCCGCGGCGGTGTGCGAAGCGGCCATGGCTGTGCAGCGCAGGGCTGCGGGAGGCAGGCGGGGGACGGAGGCGGGGTGGCGGCACTGGGTGGCGGCTGGGCGGCGGCGAGCGATTTAGCGGCCATCGCGCACCCCAGCGCTCGCAGCTCACCCGCAGGCGCGAGCTGGGCCCTGTGTAGGAGCTGGCACACCACTTGCCCGCCCTGCACTCCCGCAGGGCAGCGCATGCTGGACGCTACACGCAAGTGCAGGCGCGCACAAGGGAGGCAATGCTTGCGATGTCCGGCCGCCGCCTTGACCTTCCCCACATGCTGCTGATCGGGACTCGGCGGTGCCGGCAGCGCGCACGGCAGGTGCCGGCGGAGGAGCCAAAATTTCATGCGGATACGCCCTTTTGGGGGCTCCCGCATAGTTACAGAGGATACAAAAGGAACGAAACAGCTTGGATTCCAAGCGGGGCTTCGGCACTGGGCCGGGTGAAGGACGTCCAGCGGCGCCCGCACCGTGAGGAGCAGGGTACAGTGAAAAGCAATGCGATGCAATGGATGGGCCTGCCTATGCTACCATTGGTACAGCCTGCGCTACATGCACACACTAGTTGCGCTACGGACGGCATGCCCGTAGGGGCCCTGCCGCCGCCAGGTCAGCAGGCCTTGAGGTTGATCATCTCCAGCTCTTCCGCCACCTGCCTGCCTGCGGGCGTGGGCGGGCATGCCGCTGCCGCCCCGGGCTCGGCCGCAAAGCGGCCCAGCGGCTGCAGCACCACGTCTGAAGCAATCTGGCTGAACACGGTGGAGCTGACGCGCCAGGTGGGGCGCCCCTGGGCCCGCGCCGCCTCCGCCGCCGCCACCGTCTCCTCTGTGCACACCACCTCATGCCAGCCTGCCCTGACATGCCCGCCCGTCAGCCACTCCATCTGCTTCCCCGCCTGCAGCAGCAAGCAGCCCTCCGGGATGCGCACCTGCGGCAGGGAGGCGGCGGGGGAGGGCAGCAGGGCTGCTCAAGGGCACGGCGCGCCACGGCAGGGCCGCAGGAGTTCGCAACGCAGCAGCGCTGGCGACGCCACGCAGCAGCGCGGGCGGGCGGCGCGGGGGGCGGGCGCACCGGGATGCGGCGCCCGTTTGCCAGCCAGGCGTAGAGGCCGGGGAAGCGGCTGCGGCCGTGGATGGTCAGGAACTGCGTGGGGAGCAAGGCAGGACATGCGGTGGGTCAGGCAGGGGCAGGCGAGCCAGCAGCAACATGCTGGAAGTGCGCAGAGCCAAGCCAGGCACGGCACAGCGCTGCCGCATGGTACGGGGAGGCAGGGCGGCGGTGGCAATGGCAGGGAGGGGCTGCGTGCCGCACATTGAGGTCGTAATGGAACCCCGCCACCACGGTGCCCAGCCTGCCGTGCCTGTCCAGGTCGGCACCTGGTGCAGGAGCAGCGGGGGAGCAGCGGTTGGCAAGGGGGTGAAGGAGCCATCTGAAACGTTTGCAGGGCAGGCAGGCAAGGCTGGCATTCGGTGGGGACACTGCGGCCTGGCAGGGCAGGGCCCGCAGCGCACCCGTGGGCGCCAGCAGGTGCGGCGCGTGCTGCATGCGGGCGGTGAACGCGTCGGCCTCCAGGCCAAAGCCGCGCGCCGCCATCTCCGCCACCGTCGCCACCGCCCCCAGCAGCTTGCCTGCAGCGCCGGCGCGGAGAAACCCGCTGCTGAGCCTTTCCCATCGACAGCACATCGGCAGCAAGCCCCGGCTCGAGTGCAGCAGGCGCCATGGATGCGAGAGGCAGCGACAGCCGCCCCCACGCAGCGCACCTCCCCAGCCGTCCATGACCTGCCGCCACTCGGGGAAGGCGGCCGGCAGCACCGGCTCCGCATTCAGCTCCGGGTACTGGGTGGCGGCGGGGCGGTCGCCCAGCCTGTGGAAGAACCGCCACTTGGGGTCTGCCTCGCTGGGCAGCGTGGGGCGGTCCTCCGGCGCCAGGCTGGCTGCATGCGCCATGATGGACGCATCCCGCAGGCACCGCGGCTTCTCCACCCCCTCGGGCGTGGCGCCCACCTGCGCGCACACGCAAGGGCGGTGGAGGGCAGCTTGCCAAAGGGGTTGGGGGGCAGGCGCAACAGCTGCGCACGCGGCAGCTGCCTCGCACAGCACTGGAGGGCACCTCTGCCGCGAGCTGCCACGCCCCTGGATCAAGCAGCCCCCGGGATCGTGCGCACCTGGTACGCCAGCTCAGGCCGCACATCCGCCATCTTGACCTCCAGCGGCTGGCTGAAGTACCTTTCCAGCAGGCTGAGGAAAGCGTCGTTGTCGGCGGTGTCCACCCGCGGGTCGCGCACCACCAGGGCCGACGACTGCTGCAGGCAGGCCGCCAGCGCGGCGCACAGCCGCTGCACCTCGGGTGCCCCCTTGTCCGCAGCACCCAGGAAGACAGCCAGGTCAAAGACGGGCAGCTGGGCGCACAGCGGGTTGGGCTCCATGCCTGCGGGCGGGCAGGGCGGGCAGGGCACGGCGCGGGCGGGGCTGTGTGTTGGGTGAAAGCTGGCACCATCTGCACGCCCGCAAATGTCTCGTTGCTCACAACGCTGGAGGCGAGCACAGCCCACACGTCCCTCTCACCTGGCTGCAGCAGGACGGGGCCCGACGCTGCGGCCGCGCCGCTGCTGGCTTGCAGCTGTACCTGCTGTGGGGCTACCACGAGCTTGGGCTGCTGCTGCTGCTGATCCAGTGCCGACATTGGCGTGAGCCTGGGGGCTTCCGGTGCACGCAGGGGGTGCCCCGCCTGTGCACTGGCGCTCAGCGGAGGGAAGGCAGCGATGCTGCTGCTCGCCACCCACGCTGCCCAGAATGCGGATGCAGGCAATGAGAGTCACGCCCAAAATCAAACAATCCACGTCTCGACAGCATTACAATTTGGCCCCTCATGTATACATGACCGGCGTTCATGACTTCTGTTTGCGAGCCCAACGCTCACCTCTAGCACAGCCAGCAATCAGGCATTAGTGGACGGCCCCCTGAGGTCGCCGTTCCTCTCTCTGCAGCAGTTGCACACCGGCGCACGCCCATTCAGGCAAAGGCGCCGATGGCGGAGCTGGAGGAGACGAGGGCGAAGCTGGCAAAGGCGAGGAAGGGTGCACAGTGCCTGTCGCCTTGGGGACTCTGCTCCGCCTCGCGCCGCCGCCTCGCCGCCGCTCGAACCCACTTCCCGTATGTGCGCAGGCTGTTGCCAAGGGCAAAAAGCAGTATGAGGAGCTGGTGCGAGTGAAGCAGCACCAGGAGGTGCTGGAATCCAAGGTGTCGGAGCTCACCGAGCAGCTGGCGGCAGCGCAGGCACGGGACGCGGCGGCCGCCACCGGCGCCGCCGCCGCCGCCGCTGATGTGGAGGACCTGCGAGCCCAGCTGGCCAAGGTGGGCTGGGCTGGGCTGGGCTGGCGAGAGGTGGTTGGCAGCTGCCTCCGCAGCCGGGCGGCAGGCATCTCTCTCCCTCACCGGCGTGGGTAGCCACTTGCTTGCCTCCATGCCGTGAGATGCCCACTGCTGCCGCTGCTGCAGGCGGTTGCCAAGGGCAAGGCTCAGTACAAGGAGCTGAAGGCTGTCAAGGAGCAGCACGCTGAGCTGGAGGCCCAGGTGGCGGCGCTGAGCGACCAGCTGGCGGCGGCGCAGGCGGGCGGCGGCGCGGCGGATGAGGTGCAGGAGCTGCGGGCGGCGGCAGACACCGCGGCAGCGGCTTCCCAGGCCCTGGAGGCGGCTGCCGCCTACAAGGACGAGCAGCTGGAGGAGGCGGCGGGGCAGCTGGAGCAGCTGCAGGCGGAGCTGCACCAGCGGGATGATCAGCTGGCGGCGCAGCAGGGCCAGGCGGCAGAGGTGGTGCAGCTTCGGCAGCAGCTGCACGCGCTGCGGGAGCAGCAGGAGGCCTCGCAAGTGGAGCGGCAGCAGCAGCAGGAGGAGGTGCGGCAGGCGGCGGAGGCGGCGGGGCAGCAGGCGCAAGAGGAGCTGCATGCCTCGCGGCAGCAGGCCGCCGAACTGAGTGCGCAGGTGGGGCAGCTGCAGGCGCAGCTGGCGGCGCTGCAAGAGCAGGAGGCGGCGGAGGCTCAGCAGCACCGGCAGCAGCTGCAGGAGCGGGCCGACGCGGAGCAGGCGCAGGGGCAGCTGGCGGCGCGGGAGCTGGAGGCGGCGCGGGAGGAGGCTGCTGAGCTGGCGCAGCAGGTGCAGCGCCTCACCGCGCAGCTGGCGGCCAGGGCGGAGCAGGAGCGGGAGGCTGGCGAGGCGCAGGCACCCGCCGCCCAGCAGCCAGAGGGCGGCGAGGAGGCGCCGGCGCGGCCGGAGGCGGCCGCCGAGGATGCCGACGGCCTGGCGCGGCAGGTGGAGCAGCTGGCGGCGCAGCTGGCCAGCGCGCGGCAGCAGCACGAGGCGGAGGCGCAGGCGGCGCAGGCGCTGCGGCGGCAGCTGCAGGAGGCGCAGGCGCAGGCTGGCGCTGCCGCCGCGCTGCCGCTGCGCCAGCAGCTGGAGTCTGCCAATGCCGACATCAGGGCGCAGCTGGATGCGGCGCAGCGGCGCATCGCAGAGGCGGAGAAGCAGCTGGCGGCGGCGGCGGCCGCGGAGCCGGCCGGCAACGGCGTGGCGCCTGGGGCGGAGGACGGCGAGGCGGCGGCCCAGGCTGCCCAGGATGCGGCACACGAGCAGCGGCGGCAGGTGGAGGAGCTGCAGGATCAGGTGGCGGTGATGGAGGAAGGCATGGCCACGGCGGCGCTGCGGGTGAGGCGGCGGCGGGGCGCGCGGGGGGGGGGGGCGGGACGTGGTGGTGCCACCGGCGGGCTGCAGGGGTGTGGAGGCTGGGCACGCTCTGCCGCAGGTGCTGGCTGGGCTGCGCACAGGCGGGTGCCAGCGCGGGCGCCTGCGGCGAGCTTTTGGCCGCTCCTGAGCGGCGGCACGCATCTGTGACTCACGGGCCCAGCCCTGCCCTCCACCCGCCCCGTCACGCAGATCCAGCTGGCCGAGGAGGCGGCGGCGGCGGCGCAGGCCCGCCTGGAGGCCGCCGACGCCGAGTGCGGCAGCCTGCGGCGCAAGCTGGCGGCCGCGGAGGGGCGGCTGTCGCTGGTGGATGGGCTGGAGGAGGAGGTGGCTGAGGCCAAGGCGCGGGCGGGGCGGTGGGAGCAGCAGGTGGAGGAGCTGCGGGAGCGGGTGCGCGGGGCGGAGGCAGAGGCGGAGGCGGCGCGGCGGGCAGCCGCCGCGGCGCAGGGCCGGCTGGAGGAGGCGAGTGCTGCTGCGGCGGCGGCGAGGGCGGAGGCGGAGGAGGCCGTGGCGCAGAGGTGGGTGTGGGTCATGAGAGTGAGCTAAAACCTGCGCATGCATGTCGTTTGTGTGCCGCCAGTCGGTTGGTTGAACGTGCCGACGCCCCGCCCCCACTCGGCGCCTCATCCGCAGCCCCACACTGCCCGCCGCTGCCTCCTTGCAGCAAGCTGCAGCAGGATGGCGACACCGCGCTGCGCGAGGCTCGGCAGCTGGCCCAGCATGCCGAGGAGCAGCTGGCGGCGGCCGCCTCCCAGCAGGCGCAGGCGGCAGAGGCCCTGGCGGCGGCCCAGCAGCGCGAGGCGGCAGCCGGCGAGCGCATCGCTGAGGCGGAGGGCCAGGCGGCGGCGGCCCAGGAGGAGGCAGCCAGGTGCGCTGGGTGGGCGCCACACCGGGGCAGGCCCGTGATGCTTGGCGCACCCGCTGGGGACTGGGGCATGCGTCAACGGCCGCCTTGGGCTGCTTCTCGTCTGCCTGTATGTGTGCTAATGGCCGGCCGGCTGGCTGCCCAGTCTTGCATTACTGCGGCCTAACACACACACACACATGACCACACATAACCTCCCCCCCCTGCTCCCTCGTGCAGGGCTCGTGCCGAGGATGAGCAGCGGCGCCAGAAGTTTGCCCTCGTCAGCCAGGCCTTTGCCAGGAAGGAGGAAGGGCTGCTGGCGCAGGTGGAGGCTGCCGAGGCGGAGGCGGCCGCAGCGGTGCAGGAGGCGCTGCGCCTGAACCAGGACCGGCAGCAGCTGGCGGCAGCGGCGGCAGGCGCGCAGCAGCGCGCGGCAGAGGCGGCGGCGGCTGCCGAGGCGCAGCTGGTCGCGGCGGTGGCGCCGCTGCAGCAGCAGCTGGCGGAGGCGCAGCAGGCCGCCGCTGCGGGGCAGGCTGCGGCGCGGGAGCGGGAGGCAGAGGCGCAGCGGGCCGCTGACGAGGCGCAGAAGCTGTCTGCCAGCCTGGAGGCAGCGCGGCAGGAGGCGACAGCGCTGCGGCGTGAGCTGGAGGCGGCCGGTGGCAGCAAGGAGGCTGCTGAGGAGCAGGTTGGCACGCTGCGGCGGCAGCTGGTCGAGCTGCAGGAGCGGTGCCGGGAGCTGCAAGATGCGGCGCGGCAGGCGGCGCAACAGCTGCCGCTGGGACTGGCGCCGGCGGGGCTGCGGGCGGCTCCGGGCGCTTCTCGCTGGCGGCCGGCCCCGGCTTCGCCGCGCCCGGCGGCGAGGAGGCAGCAGCAGGCGGGGCGGAGGCGGCGTCGGGGAGCGCTGCCGCCCTGGAGCGGCAGGCGCTGGAGCAGCAGGTGGCGGATGCTGAGAAGAAGCTGGCGGCGGGGCTGGCGGTACAGCAGGCCAGGCTGGCGGCCCTAGAGAAGCAGAACCGCGACCTGAGCTGGCAGGTGGCCATGCTGACCCGCGGCGGCGGCGGCGCCAGCGCGGCAGGAGGCCCCGGCGGCGGCGGCGGCGACGCGCGCGGCCCCGGCCGCCTGGGCATCGGCGGCCCGCCCGGCTCGGTGGCGGTGCCCATGCCAGCGCTGCAGCTGGAGGGCGGCGAGGCGCGGCCGCTGGCGGTGGCGGTGGGCTGGGTGCTGCGCCACCGCAAGCACCTGGTGGTCGGATACCTCGTCGTGCTGCACGCGCTGACCTACGTCTGCGCCACCCTGCTGGCGCGCTGCCAGCACCCGGTCGCCGCCGCCGCCTCCTCCTCTTCCGCCGGCTGAGGCGCGGCGGTGGGCGCCTGCTCGTGACCGTTCCGAAATGCTGATTGCATGAGCCTGCACCTTTTGGCCTCTGGTGTAAGGTTGCGGCTCAGCTCAGATATGCGACCAGGATGGGAACTTCCTGCTGATGTGGATTGGAAAGAACCCTGGTGCTAAAGAGGAAACTGGCACCCCTGGGCCTTATCCAGCAGGCAGGCGGGCCCCAGAGCGAAAGATTGAGAGGGTTGAGGGGCGTCTGAAGCTCAGGGGGCACAGTCACCCAGCACCCCTTGAGCATCACCTCGTTTTGGGGCAGCACAGCGCGGCTGTCAAGGGCCCCGCGAGTGTCGCAATGACGCTCAACATGGCTGCCGCGCCGCAGGGCGACTTGCCCTGGCTCGAGGCGCGGCGCGGCGGGCGCCGCTCCTGGATAGAGGACGACGGCGGCAGCGTGGCGCGCTCCACCTTCAGCCGCACCAGCCAGGCAACCTCGGACAGGGGAGACGACTTCGAGGAGCTGAAGGCGGCTGCGCTGCTGGGAATCAAGGGCAAGCACAGGGACCATGTGGTGGTGCTGCCGCCGCACGCAGAGGTGAAGCCAGCTGGGGGGCTGTGGTCCGTTCAAGAGGGTCGATTGTCACGTGCTGCTGCTTCTGGTCTCGCGATGAGGTTGAGGTTCTGAGGCCCCTGACCCGTCGCCACCTGCTGCCCTCGCCCGTTATGGCTGCCTGCCTGCAGGGCCAGGGCGTCCAGGTGGTGGATGTGCAGCACATGGACCGGCGCTCGCAGGTGCGGCGCCGGGGCCGGGGGTGGACGGCAGGGCAGGCAGTACTGGCAGCGCCCGGGTTATGTGTTGCCCACACCCCTCATCACCCCCACCACCTTGCTTGCAGCGAGAGCTCATGGAACGCATGCTGCGGCACGGCCAGGCGGACAACATGCTGCTGCTGGAGCGAGTGGCGCAGCGCCTGGAGCGGTGGGCGGGCTTAGGCGTGCCTGCCCGCCCGCCCGCCTGCCTGCCTGCCCGCCTGCCCACCCGGCTGATACCTGAGCCTGCCGCACCTGGTGGCCGGCCGGAAAGCCCCTGCATTGCCCCGCCGCCTGCCCGCCTGCCGCAGCGCGGGGCTGCAGCCTCCCACTGTGGAGGTGCGGTACCGCGGCCTGTCGGTGCTTTCCAAAATGACGGTGGGCGACCGCGCGCTGCCCACGCTGCGCAAAACGGTGAAGCGCCAGGCAGAGGTGCGCTGCCGCGGCGTTGGATGCGGGCACGCGCCTCGTGGGGCGCGCGGTGCGGGGGTGGCTGAGGGGTGCCTCTTCGGCTCCCCGCTGCCCGCAGCCCGCGCTGCGCGCGCTGGGGCGCGCCCCGCCTAAGACGCTGTTCCCCATCATCGACGAGGCCTCCGGAATCATCAAGCCAGGTGGGTCTTGGGGCCAGGGGAGGCGCGCTGCTGGTGCGTCAAAACAGGCGGCGCCACGATGGGCCGAGCGGCTGGCCGCCTCCAGATGCCGGCGGGCCGGGTGGAGGCGCGTCCACAGCCGGCCCCCACCCCCGCCCTGGCGCAGGCGACTTCACCATCCTGCTGGGCCCACCCGGCTCCGGGAAGACCACCTTCCTAAGAACCCTGGCCGGCCTGAACAGGCGGCACACCAGCCTGAAGGCAAGCGGGCAGCCGGCGGTGGGCTTGAGGCGAGCACACTGCATCCAGGGGCCGGCCTGGTGCACCACGGCCGCGCGCGTGCCTGCCTGCCTGCCTGCCTGGGGGCAGGTGCAAGCGCAGGAGCTGAGCTACAACGGGCGCGGCTTTGACGAGTTTGTGGTGGAGCGGTCGGCCGCCTACGTCTCTCAGGCGAGAGCCGCCTGGCCCTCGGCAGCTAGGAGGCTCGCAGCTCGCCCGCCAAGTGCTCGCCCGCGCACGAGGCCCCAGCATGGAGCCTTGCATTCTTGCCTTCCACCTTGCTTTCCACCTTGCTTTCCACCTGCATCCACTGCAGGTGGACGACCACTACGGCGAGCTGACGGTGCGGGAGACCTTCGACCTGTCGGCGCGCTTCCAGTCGTCTGGCTACAAGAAAGGTGCGCCGCCGCGTGCGCGCCGCACCCTGCGCCGCCCTCCTGGCCCACCCTCACCTCGGTGCCGACCAGCGCTGTAGGACCCAGCAGGCTGCCTCCCCCTGCTGCCTGCCCCGTAGCCGTGCTGGAGGAGCTGGCTGCCAAAGAGCGGGAGCTGTGCATCAGCCCAGACCCCGAGGTGGGCAGGCTGGGGTGCTGGCCGGCGCGGCCGGGCCGCCATCCGCAGCCAGCCACCACACGCACGGCGGGCCCACCACCAGGCCCTGTTGCTCATCCCCGAGGACAGCTTCGCGCCCTCCCTCCCTCTCGCCCTCGCGGCAGAGTCGTTACTCCCATGGCCACCCGACCCTGTGCCTCTGCAGGTGGACGCATACATGCGGGCCACCGCAGTGGCGGGCAAGGGAAATCTTATGGTGGAGGTCATCATACGCCTCCTGGGCCTGGATATCTGCGCAGACACAGGTGGGCGGGTGGGGTGGGTGGGTGGGCGGGTGGCGTGGCTCGGCCCGGGGCGCCGGGCGCCAACCGCACGCAAACGGCGGCGACCGTGGCGGCACCGCCGGCATGCGTGGGTGATGCATCCGCTGATGGCCGGCCCTTGCGGCGTGCAGTGGTCGGCAACGCCATGCTCCGCGGCATTTCGGGCGGGTGAGCGGCCGGCTCTGCACTTGGCCTGCGAACGGATGCTCCCAATCAGTCAGTGCTGCTGCTGCGGTCCACACCCTACTGCTCAAGCAGCGGGTCGCTGACCTGGCCGTCCCCTTCCCTCCCATGGCGCAGCCAGAAGAAGCGCGTCACTACAGGCAAGGCTGGGGAGCGAGCACAAGCCTGGCGGGTCCTGCTGGGGGTGTGGTGGCGCATGCTCGCCCGAGGGCGGATGCATGACGTGCCAGGCCAGCATGAAAACGGTGAATGGTCTGCTGCCGCTGCAGGGGAGATGGTCGTGGGACCCATCCGCGCGCTGTTTGCTGACGAGGTTTCGACAGGCCTCGACTCAAACACCACCTACCAGGCAAGTGCTGCTTGGCAGCGCCCCGCGACTGGCTGCTGCCTGCATCCTGTGGGCGCGCGTGAGAAACCCGCGGCGCCACGCCGTGTGCCCTGCTGCTGCAGATCATGCGGGCCTTCAAGAACGTGTGCCACCTGTACAAGGTCTGGTAAACTTGAGTGAGGCGACAGGGGGAGGGCAGGGGGGCGAGGCCTCGAGGGGGGGATGGGGAGGAAGGCAGGGGGCGATGTGGAGCGGACAGGGGACCAGGGGAGTACCGGCGGCCGACCATGCCGCTCGCTGGGTGTTCTGCAGGCGACGCTGGTGGTGGGCCTGCTGCAGCCCCAGCCCGAGACGTTTGACCTGTTTGACACAGTCATCCTGCTGGCCAGCGGCAAGGCACGTGGGGGGCGAGAGATGGGGGCCTGGCAGGAGCTGGGGACAGACTGGCGGCAGCCTGGGGCGGTAGGGAACGATGCTGCTGGTGCGGCTCTTGCTGCCCTTCTCCACAGTTTGGTGCGCCTGCCTGGCATCCCCTGCCTGCCTGCCGCCCGCAGGTCTGCTACCACGGCCCGCGAGAGGGCGTGCTGCCCTTCTTCGGCGGCATCGGCTTTGTGTGCCCGCCGCGGCGCGGCGTGGCCGACTTCCTGCAGCAGGTCGCCACCCCCAGCGACCAGCACGTGAGCCCGACCACAGCAGGCACAGCATGTGCCTTGCCTGTGCCGCGCATGCTGTGTCGACCCGTTGGCTTCTGCGCCCATTCGCCCCTCCTGCTGCCTGCCTGCCGCTGCCGCAGAAGTACTGGGACATGCGCAACCAGCGCCCCTACCGCCATGTGTCGGTGCTGATGATCGAGAACGCCTTCAAGAAGACGGAGCTGTGGCAGGGCGTCGAGTCGCAGCTGGCGCAGCCCTTTGATGCCAGCTCCGCCGACCCGCGTGCCCTGGCCACCACCAAGTGAGACGATGTGAAGCGGAAAGCTGGCATTGCTCATTGTTATGTCCTGCATTCTTTCTCTGAGCAGCGCAGTGACAGCGCAAAGGCAGCAACCCGCTCCCTGCCTGCGCACCACACAGCATGCGCTACCCGGGTGCGACGCGTCGTGACTGCTGGTCCCGCCCTGCCTTCATGCCTGTCCCGCAGGTACGGCCAGACGTACAGCCACCTGCTGCGCACCAACTTTCGCCGCATGATACTCCTGCAGACCCGCAACAAGATATTTACCATCATTCGCACCAGCCAGGTGCTGCTCATGGTGAGCCCCCAGGCAGCGCCCTGAGCATTGAATGCATGGGTCGTCGCTGGCCGGGGCCCTGGTGTGCGCACACCACGGCCCGAGCATCACACGCTCTTTGCTGCGCCTGCGCCGGGCCCCTGCTGCTGCCTGGCGCAGGCCTTTGTGGTCAGCACGCTGTTCTGGCGGGAGGACAAGGGCACCGTGGAGGACGGCAACCTGTTCTTCGGGGTAGGGCCGCGCTTCCTTCGCCAAGCCTGCGCCATGCAGCTAGAGCTGAATCCAGCCTGGCCCCCTGCTGTTCTGGTGGCGGGGGGCCACTGGTTCCAGCAGTGCTGGTGCGCCATGGCCCATGGCATGCGCAGGTGATCTTCTACTCTATCCTGTACCAGCTGCTGGGCGCCATCCCCGAGATGCACCTGCTGGTGGGCAGGCTGAGGTGAGGGGCGGGGGCTGCAGCTTGCGCCGCCCCTCTGCCTGCCTGATCCACCGGCAGCGCCGCGCCGGCTTGCTGCCACATGGCGGCCAGGCCCCGCCTCCATCGCGCTGCCCCGCCACGTGTGCCGCAGTGTGTTCTTCAAGCAGCGAGACGTCAACTTCTACCCCGGCTGGTGCTTCGCCATCCCCACCTTCCTCATGCGTGTGCCTTGGAGCTTCCTGGAGGCAACCCTGTGGACCAACCTGGTGCGCACGTGGCGGTGGCAGTTGCAGCCCCATCCGCGGCAATGGTGTGGGCTGCAGGCATGGCATACGCTTTCACCTGCCCACAGCTGGTGCTACCGGCCTCCCTGCCTGCCTGCAGGTGTACTGGCTTGTGGGGTTCAGCCCAAGCGTGCGCTTCCTCATGTTCTGGTGAGCAGCTCACTCTGTTTCCCAAGGGCACTGCCGGCCACACTGTTTCCGGGTTTGGTCTCCACCTGATGCCCCCTGTCGCCCCTGCTGGGCAGGCTGCAACTCTTCCTCATCAACATATGGTCCGTGGGTCTCTTCCAGGTGGGTGGGATGTGGGCAGGTCAGGTCATGGTGCCGCAGGCATGCACGGCCAGCCCGCTGGTGGCGGCATCCCTCAACCCTCTGCGTTCTGTCGACCACCGCCATGTGCCTGCAGCTCATAGCGGCTGTCACGCGGAATGATACGATTGCCACCGCCGTGGGATCCTTCTTCCTGCTCATTGTGAGAAGCTGGAACCTGCTGGAACTGCATGACGTCCTTGTTGTGCATTGCGGCTGGTGTGCTTGCCAGCCAGGCCAGGCAGCCATTCGTTCCCACAAGTCTCCCTTCCAGGGCTGACACAAGCATGCCGTCCCTTCCTTGCACCTGCTGCCGCAGTTCATCAGCCTCACAGGCGCGCCGCCACGATGCCGGGCTGGCGCCCGCATGCTGTGCCTGCTGCTGCTGTGCCTGCCATGTGAACATCAACCAACGCCTGGCGTGATCAGTAACATTGCCACGATGCAGGCTTTGTGCTGAACAAGAGCGACATCCCACCGTGGTGGATCTGGGGTAAGGGCTGCAGGCCACACACGCGTGTGCTCAACAATGCGCCGCAGGCATGCAGCATGGCCATCTCTCTCCCCCTCCCTCCTCCTTGCAGGGTACTGGTCCAACCCGTGAGTGCAGGAGGGGGAGGGGTGCAGGCAGGATGGCGCATCGCTGGGCGCATGAGGATGAACCTCCATGCACACACACCCCATGCAAGCACCCCTGCTTTGCAGGTTTGCGTGGGTCACCCGCGCTCTGGCGATCAACGAGTTCACGGCTGCCCACTGGATGCGCCCAAACCCCTCCAACCCGGGCTCCACGCTGGGCATCGATGTGCTGCAGTTCAGGTGGGGCGCCTTGGCCCGCCGCCTTGTGAGACTCGCCCTGCCAGCTAACAGGCTCGCTTGCCAGCCGGCATCGCCGTTTCCATGCCTGTGCCAAGTTGTGCTGAGCCATGCCGTGCGCTGGGCTGCGCTGGGCTGCGCCGTGCGGTGTCGTGGCATGCCGAGGCCTCGCCTTGTTGCGCCACGCCGTCACGCTGTGCTGTGCTGTGCTGCGCTGTGCTGCAGGGGCTTCCCCACAGAGTACTGGTGGACCTGGGCGTCTGTGGGATTTGTGCTGGCCTCCCTGGCCCTGTTGCTGCTGCTCTTCATCGCCACGATGACCTTCATCGGGGGTGAGCGGGGGAGGGGCGAGAGGGGCGCGGCAGCAGGGCCCAAGCAAGGTGGCGGCAGGTGTGGTGCCCCGTCTGCTCATGCCAGCCCACTCACGCCCCCGCTGCCCATGGTACCTGCCCCGCCTGCCGCGCCGCGTGCAGCCCCCCGGCAGCGCCGCACCATCACTCCCGAGGCGCTGCAAGACTTCCAGCTGAGCCGCAAGGAGCTGCTCACCCCTCAGCCCTCCTTTGCTGAGCAGGTGCGTGCTTGGTGCGGCTGGTGTGTGGCGCTGGTTGCGCCTGTGTGCGGCATGCAGGCGCCGCAGTCAGTCTGCTGGAGTCCAGGGATGCGTCCAGATGGGACTGACGCACATCAACGCATCCCTGTCCTGCAGGACATGGCTGAGCAGGGCATGGTGGCGTGGCCCTCCACAGCCACCCAGGGCACCTCCAGCACCAACAAGTCGGGCCGCCTGGCAGCAGCCGACAGCGCTACGGCTCCAGGCACAGAGCCGCTGGCCGGCGCCCCTGCCGGCCCTGCCGCCGAGGACGGAGCCGTGCGTGTCACCGTGACCCCGCTCGGGGGCCCCACTGGTGCTGCTGGTCGCTCGAGCAGCTTCGAGGCGGGGGAGGAGTGAGCTGCTGCCTGGCACCGACCCTTTGCGGGAGCCAGCTGCTGGGCTGACTGCTCAAGCTGGACACGTCGTGGCCTTCTTCCATGCCCGCATTGCTGCCGAGCCTCTTGCTGCCCAGTCACCTCCCCTGGCCCTGCCCTCCTGCTGCGCGCGCAGGCCCATCAGCCCCCGCCACCTGTACCTGATGCGCTCCAGCCAGCGCATGAGCCAGGCATCGCAGCAGGCCGAGGTGTACCGCCAGCGTACCGCCATCCCGTTTGACTTCACCGCCATCACCTTCAGGGATGTCGAGTACTCGGTGCCGCTCCCTCCGGTGAGCGGGTGGCTGCCGGATGCATGCAGCGGGCGGCTTGGTGTTGGGGAGAGGAGCGCGCTGGGCAGGCAGGCGGCTGCCATTATTACTGCCGCCAGCCTCTCAGCCTTTCCTTTGTGGGCAGGCCCTGGGGAGCGGAGGGAGTTCAGCAGGGCAAAGAAGGTGGCGCTGTTGCAGGTGCTCACATGGCGCGCCAGGCATGCGTGCGTGCAGGATGCAGACCCGCAGCGTGCCGACGTGCCGGCCAGCGGCCCCCACCAGGGCGCGCTGCGCCTGCTCAGGGGCATCCACGGCGTGTTCCGCCCCCATGTGCTCACCGCGCTCATGGGGGCCTCGGGGGCAGGTGGGTGGCCTTGGGGGGCCGGCCAGGAGGCGGCCTGGGCGTCGGGGAAGGGCGTGGCAGGGTATGGCCGGCGGCGGCGCAGGGGGTGCCCGCTGGGCTCCCCACTGGCCCCCTGCACCCACCCCTTGCTTGCAATCTAGCCCACGCCGTGCAGGCAAGTCTACGCTTCTGGACTGCCTCGCCGGACGAAAGGTGAGGGAGGGCAGGGGCGCCGCAAGCCAGCATGCAACCGCCGGCAGCGGATCAACACGACCGCCGCTGGGTGCCGTCAGCCCGCGCCTCCCTTGCCTGCCCCTGCCCCCGGCCCAGCCCTTGCCCCCTGCGCCCCGCAGACCTCCGGCCTCATCACCGGCGACATCCGCGTCAACGGCTTCCCAAAGGACCAGCACACCTTTGCCAGGGTCGCGGGCTACGTGGAGCAGACAGACGGTCGGTGCACAGGCGCAGCCGCCGGCTGCTCGGCCGGCGGGCCCTCCCTCGCTGAGGGCCCGAGGCCCTCTCATTCTGCCTCACACCCCGCCCGCAACGATTCCCTCCTGCCTCCTGCCTGCTGCCTGCCCATGGACTGCACACAGATGGCCCAGCTGCCCTGCCCGGCAGCAGCGCTGATGGCCTGCCTTGCCTGGCACGCGCTCTGGCTCCGCGGCCCTGCTGCAGTGCACATGCCCCAGACCACCGTGGCGGAGGCCTGCCACTTCTCGGCCCGCGTGCGCCTGCCCACCTCTGTGGAGAAGGGCAGCCGCGAGGCGTTTGTGGAGGAGGTGAGCCAGCGGGGCGGGCGGGCTGTGCTTCATGCTGAGCAGCATCTGCTGGATCATTTTCCTTCCCGAAACGCTCGCCAGAGGCATCTGCCAGCCAGCCCGGGCAGTGCTGAGCTGGCACATGACACCTGCGGCCGCGCGCGCCTGGTGCCTGCTCGGCTCCCCTGCCAACCGGCGCAGGCCATGGCTCTGGTGGAGCTGGACAGGCTGCGCCACGCTCACGTCGGCGTGCCCGGCGTCAGCGGACTGTCGGTGGAGCAGCGCAAGCGGCTGACGCTGGCGGTGAGGTGCCGGCGCCCCGCTGGCTGGCGGCTGCTGCTGCCACGGCGCGGCGTGCGTCTCTCACTTTCTTCTGCTGGCCTGCCTGCCCGCCTGCTGCGCCGCAGGTGGAGCTGGTGTCCAACCCATCAGTTGTGTTCATGGAGTGAGCAGGGCGGGGCGCGCGTGGGTGTGCTGCGTGTATGCGCCTGTGCCCCTGTGTGTGTGGTGGTGATGCCGCGTGTGTGTGGGTGGCAGGGAGGGGCAGCCGGGGGCAGGCCAGGGTGCCGGGGAGTGTGTGTGTCCGACTCACGCGCCTGGCGCCCTGCTGTCCCAGCCACCCCCTGCCCAACACACCTCGCCCACGCGCCTGCAGCGAGCCAACCAGCGGGCTGGATGCGCGAGCCGCGGGGGTGGTGATGGATGCCGTGCGCGCCACAGTGGTGGGGGATGCTGCTGCTGCTGCCGCCGCTGCTGCTGCTGCTGCTGCTGCTGCTGCTGCTGCTGCTGCTGCTGCTAACACGCCGCCTCTGTGTGACGGGCGTATGAGTGTGCGCCTCTAGCGTGCCCAGCTGCAGTGGTGCGGTCCCGCTGCCGCCCTGCAGGACACCGGGCGCACCGTGGTGTGCACCATCCACCAGCCCAGCGCCGACATCTTCGAGGTGCGGCCGTGCATGCATGCCTGGGCACCCTCCGCGCTGGCACCCTCCGTGGTGGTGTGCCCGATCAAGAATGCCCGCCACAAACTCACTACGCAATTGGCAGCTCGCCCCGAGCCCTGACCCGGCGCCATCGATGCCCTCCCTGCCCTGCAGGCCTTTGATGAGCTGCTGCTGCTGAAGCCTGGCGGGTCGACGGTCTACTTCGGCCCGCTGGGGGACGACAGCCAGGCGCTGATCCGGTACTTCCAGGGCATCCCGGGCGTGCGGCCCCTACCCCCCAACTACAACCCAGCCAATTGGTGAGCAGCCAATGGACAGTGCGGAGGCTGGCGCAGGGTGGAGACTCCAGCAGGGGGCGGAACGCTGCCAGGCATCACCCGTCTGCCCTGCCTTGGCACGCAGGATGCTGGAGGTGACCAGCCCGGGGGCGGAGGAGGCGCCGGGTGTGGACTTTGCCCAGCTGTACGCCAAGAGCGACCTGGCCAGGTGGGCTGATGTGCAGGAATGGCAGGCCGCCAAGGCAGGCCTGCCTGCCCGCCCTGCCCCCACAGCGCAGGATGCTGCACGCGGCGGCCTGCCCCTCCTCCGCCATTCTGTGCAGGCAGATGGATGGCGTGATTTCGCAGCACCACGAGCCCAAGGCGGGGGCCGCGCCGCCGCTCTTCAGCGAGCTGCATGCGTCTGGGTTCGGGGAGCAGTTCCTGGTGAACCTGCGCCGCAACTTTACGATTTACAACCGTTCGCCAGGTATCATCCGTTTCCTGTGTGTGTGTGTGTGTGTGTTTTCCAGTGTCCCGGCCTGGCTTGTGTGCATGTGTCTGTGCGGTGATGGCGGCGTGCGTGTGTAACCCCCCCCCCTCCGGGGCTGCCTGCCTGCACCTCTGGACATCAGCGGCCGACGGCTCATCCCTGCCTGCCCCTGCGTGCGCAGAGTACAATCTGACGAGGGCGGCGGTCACCACCCTGATTGGCTTCAGCTTCGGCGGCATGTTCTGGAGGCAGGGAGACAACCGCTCCACCGTGGCGGGGGTGCTGAACATCATGGTGGGGAGGGTGCCGGGCGCCCGCTGCCTGCCGTGAAGGCAAGCTGTACGCTTAGCTGCAAAATCTGCTGGCTGCTGCGTGCAGGGCGTGCTGTTCAGCTCCACCCTGTTCCTGGGCATCTCAAACTGCCTCACGGTGCAGCACCTCATCGCCGCACAGCGCACGGTGTTTTACAGGTGCGAGGCGGCGGTGGCCGGCGGTGGTGGCAGGCATCCTGATGTGCGAGCTGTCAGCCTCCCAGCCGAGCCCCAAGTTCGCAGCCAGCCACAGATCAGCTACACAGCCGCCACAGCCGCCACGGCGCCAACATGGCCCCCCTCCCCCCCTGATCCTTTTCATGCAGGGAGCATGCGGCGGGGATGTACCGCGTGGCGCCCTTTGCCCTGGCCCAGCAGCTGGTGGAGCTGCCCTACCTGGTGGTGCAAGCGCTTGCCTACTCCTGCATAGTCTACTGGTGAGCGAGGGGGCATCGCAGCACGACAGGTGGAAAGCTGTCCAGCGCAAGGAGCACCTGCCGCCCAGCATGGCCGTGACAGCGTCTGCCCCAGCCTGCCCGCCTGGCCGCAGGATGGTGTGGTTTGCCCGGGACGCCGCCAAGTTCTTTTGGTTTTACTTCCTTTTCTTCCTGACCTTGTGGTACTTCACTACGTTGGGAATGGCCGCAGTCAACCTGACACCCTCAGTGCCGCTGGCAAACGTGCTCTGCTCCTTCTTCTTCGGCTTCTGGAACCTGCTCTCCGGCTTCCTCATCCCCATCCCCGCCATGCCGGGCTACTGGGTGTGGGCGGCCTGGATCAACCCGGTCATGTGGTGAGCAGCAGGAGCCGCCGCCGCAGGCCCGGAGCATCCCCAATCCTCCTTGACCCCCCACCACTTTCGTTCGAGCGTAACCCCTCCCGGGTGTGCTGTACCGCTCCCGCTACCGCTGCCGCTACCGCTACCGCAGGAGCATCTACGGGATGGTAGTCTCCCAGCTGGGCAGCTTCAGCAACGAGACCATCACAAGTGAGGCGGCGGGGCGCGTGGCGCCGCCGGCTGCAGCCGCAGTGGCGCGTCGTTGCATGCGGCGCAGATGACCCCTGCTGCTGCCTCTGCTCCAATTGAGCGATGTCGCAGACCTGAGCGGCGTCACCGAGACCATCCCACAGTTTCTGTCGGACACTTTCCAGTATGAAACATACATGCAGGGTGCGGCTTGTGCATCATTCTCCCACACGCGCAGCGGCGTGGGGCGCGCGGCGCCGTATATTTGAAGCCGCAAGCCGGGGCCAACCGCCTGCCGTCGCCGCGCCCCCCCCTGCCGCAGGCGTCATCGTGGCGATTCTGTTTGCTTACATCCTGGCCTTCTCCAGTGTGGCGATGATTTCCCTCAAGTAAGTGAGGGGTTGAATGGCTGACGGTAAAGGGCGTAAGCGCCGAGTGCGGCCGAATGCTCCTCTGTCGCAGGCTGCTCAACTTCCAGCGCCGGTAGACATTGGAGGCTGCCCAGCCACTGCCTGCCCAGTGGATGCACAGCGTCGCCTTGCCTGACTGTTGATGGGCCGGCTGGGGCGGCACGGGAAGACGTGGCGCCTGACAGCTCAGCGCCAGCTCAGCGCCAAAAACCCTTGCATTTCGCAGCGCTTTACATGCTTCGAATTGTTGCCTGGCAGCTGGACCCAATTGCCCTAGATGCTGCCCTTTGAAATTGAGAACCTGGTGGACGAGGAGGCGGGGCCGCCTGGGTTTCTATGGATGGACGAGTGCGATCCGGCGGCAGTCGACGATCGCATGCCAGACCATGCTGGGTGCCGGTGCAGTGCGGGCAGCTGCGAGCTGGGCAGTTGCCCATGTGCAGCTGACAGGCTTGAGGCCAGGGTGAGCAGTGTGTATCATGGCACGATATCGATGCCGGCCCTCCACTTGAGAGCGGCCGTCGCGGTTCCGCCGCCAGCGCTGCCGCCAGCGGTGCGCTCGAACATGCTGTGGGCCCCTTGATTGTGCGGCAGCTGCCTGCTGTGCAGGGGCGGCAGCTGGTGCTGCTTCCAGCGAGCGAGCCGGCCGCGATTGAGTTGACGGAATGCGGCCCCAGCTGCAGCTGCTTTGGAGGGTGCGGCTTGGTTCTATCAAGCGCCGGCTCGCAGCAGCCTGCAGTCACCCTGCAGAAGCGCAGCGGCAAGGGATGGGGCGTGTATGCCGATGAGCCGCTTCCTGCAGGATCCCTGCTGGGGCAATATGGGGGAGAGTACATCTCGAATGCTGAGGCGCAGCGGCGGCTGAAAGAGTACGACACAAGCGGCGGCGGGCACGCCCTGCTGGTGAGGGGCCCCGCTGTGTGTGCCACCCTGGCGCTGTCCAGCTTTATGGCATGCATGCCCTGACGGGGCTGCATCCATGCCGGCAGGTGCTGCGCGAGTGGCTGCCCTCGGGGACAGCCGCCATCCGCCTCAACATCGACGCCACGCGCCGCGGCAACCTGGCCCGCTTCTTCAACCACTCCTGTGACGGCGGCAACCTGCAGCTGCTGCTGGCCAGGTGGGCCCGGCCCTGCTCGCCTCGCCTGGCCCAGCTCCCGCTGCCCGCGGCGGGCAGCGGTCAGCCGACCTTAGTAGCCCACCGGCGTGCATGCCTGGCTTGCAGGCACACCGGATGCTTGTTGCCGCGGGTGGTGTTTGTGACCAGCAGGGCTGTGCAGCAGGGGGAGGAGCTGACGTGGTGCTACGGGCGCCCCCCAAATGGCGGGCCAGGCGGCCGGCCCTGCCACTGTGGCACTTCCGCCTGCCTTGGATTCATGCCACACGAAGAGGTGTAAGGGCATGCCCAGGCATGTTGCCACCATACCAGGGGCTAGAGCCATCGGCAGAGCCCCTTCCATCATCCGCCGCCACCCGTTGCATGTTGCCCCCTGATGTGGCACCCTCCCGATTGGGCAACCCCCGCCCCCGCTCCCTCCTGGCAGCCCGCGCGGCGCTCCCCTCCCATACGTGAACTGACCCCATATAGCCCTGTTTGAGGGTTGAGCGGGGCGGAGCGGGGCTGCTTGCACACGTGATGGCATGCACGCTTCAACGCTCCCGCTGTCATCTCACCTCTCTAGCGTCAGAAATACAACTCTTACAAGCCAACCAACACGAACAGAGAGACCGAACAACAGAAATGAACAGGAAATATGAAGCCGCCACAGGCGGCAGCACCTTCCAGCGGAGACGGCAAAGCGTACAAGGCACACTTTTTCAATGGTTCTTGCAATTGCCACCCTTACCGGTTATACAGCCACAGTGCCGCCCACACCGCGCACCATTCTTCTTGCAGCTGCAGTTCCGGGTGCAGGCGCCGCGGCAGCCGCAGCGCACGGCTGCCTTGCCGCCGCCGGGCTGCGCCGCCATCGCCACATTGAGAGACACCACAGGCACTCCTCGCTGCGCCGTGCCGCTGAAGGTCAGCTCGCTGGCCAGGCTGGGTGGCGCCTTA